TCACCTAGTGGAGACCTGGGCCAGCAGACGCCACACGTCACCTAATGTAGACCTGGGTCGCAGACGCTGCGGGTCACCTAGTGGAGACCTGGGGTCAGCAAATGCCATGTGTCCATCTAGTATAGACCTGGGTCAGCAGGTGCCCAGTGACATCAGCAGTAGACCAGGGGGTGAACGTTTCAGGCTCTGAGCCTGTGGGGTGCTCCTGAGTTGTGTGCACCCGGGTGGCAGCAGCCACTGATGAGGTGACACCCAGGCTGGCCGTGCTCCAGTAAAACGTTACTCAGAACAGTCGGGGCCAGGCGTGGCGCGGGCTGGAGTCTGTCCTACCCTGCTGTGGGCCTGACCTCCTGATGTGTCCTGAGGGTCACCTCGACGTCAGCAGAAGCTCCGGAGGAGGTGCCGGTGGCTGTGAGGCTACCACCCTGAGTCAGCGCCGCCAACCTGCCGCCCCGTGCCGTGTGGCCAGGGAGGAGGCAGCACTTCAGCCCGGGCTCCACGCACGTGGCGGTCTCCGTTCCCACAGGCCGTGGGCACGCGTGGGTCTGCGTGTGCTGAGGCCACTGTCTTTTTAAGTGCCTTTCTTGGTCCCTGCACCTCGTCTCATCGGCCACCCCGAGGGGCAGCCCAGGGCCCACCAGCGTCCAGCGGCTCAGCTGAGTCGATGACGGGTTCGCCCAGGGCCAGGGCACCAGGAGCCCCTCCTCGCCCGCCTGCCTGTCGCGGGTGGAGAGGTCCACGTCGGCTGTGAAGGGCCAGAGGCAGGCGGTGATCTAGCTCCAGAGATTCCTGTCACACGGCGTTTTCTGCCTCTGGGTCCCCTCGGGACAAATAGCTGCGTTTCCCTGTTCTTGTCACTTCATGGGCACAGAATTTGCTGGCACAGAGTGGCTGGGCTCACTGTCGCCGGCACCCCTGGGCACCGAGGTGGGTACTCCAGGGGCCACTCAGTGCAGCGCACGGGGGTGCAGACAGGAAGGAGCCAGGCCCCGAGCAGCCCTGGGGCCTGGGCAGGGCTCGAGGGCACAGATGAGCACACGGCAAGAGTGTCCCCTGAAGTGAGGGTCCGTCCCCAGGTGGGCCAGTTGGGCTGCGTGTTCCTGTGTGCGCAGCCCGGGCGCCGGGGTCTCAGGCCCCGCAAGCCTCCGTGGGGCCTTCAGGGGGACCCTGGCCGCAAGCCTGGTCAGGGAGTCGGCACAGAGCCTGGGCACCGCCCGCGGCTGTCTGGTGGCGCCCTGTAGAGGGAGCGCAGATGGGTACTTGGTTCCCTCCTAAGGGAAGAGGCAGTGGCCCTGCCCGCTGGGGTCCAGGGCTCCAGCCAGCCTCAGCCATGGGTCCGGCAGCCCGTGCGGAAGGCACCTCGTGGCCCAGGGCAAGGTTCTGGCCCAGGCTCTAGATCTTGGGGCGCCACAGAGGTGAGGGCTCACCCTCCAGGCTCTGAGGCCCCCAGACCTGTCCACGGAGTCCCCTCACTCCCTCTGCTCCGTGGCTCCCCACGCCGCCCTGTGGTGCTGGCTCCCCGCCGAGTGGCACTAAATGATCTGATTGGGGAACATCGCTCGCCCACGTCATTGTCACGTCGCCCTGGGCTTCCGGGCGTGGCCTCCTTCACGGCCCCACAGGATCGCTGGGCACCACCCGGCCGCACACTGGGGTCCGGGGGATGGCAGCGCCTGGGCCCTGAGGACTGCCGGGTCCCCGTGAGGCCTTGGCTCCGCCCTGGCCTCCTGGCGGCCTTGCCCTCGAGCGGCCTGTGCCGTCTGTCCTTGCTTGAAACTCCCAGAGCCCAGCGGCCTCTCAGAGGGCCAGCTGCTGCCCGGGGCCTTGGGTCCCCGCCCGGCCGGGGCCCCACGTCCTGCCCTGCGGCACAGCCTCTCTTTTCCCCACCCACCCTCAGAAGCGCCGGCATGTTCCGGAGGAATCCACAAACAAATGGAAGCGGAGGGTCAGGACGGCCCTGGCCGGGGTGAAACTGGTACCTTCCTGTTGGGGCCACCCGAGTCTTGACGTCTGCCGGGCAACCCTCCGTGTCTCTGTCCCCTGCCACGGCTGTGTCCACGTCTGCTGCCTCCCCCTCTCCCCACTGCGTCACTGCATGGCTGTGGGGGTCTCCGTGTGCGGTCACTCGGGTGTGCACTGGCCAGGGCTGCCGAGTGCCCCGGATCCTCTCCCTCACTCGCATGTGGCCGCTCCTGAAAGGAGTGGCCCTGCCGCTGTGTCTATGCCAGTGTCCAGTGGCCTGTGTGTCTTCCTGTTCAAAACCCCCCTCTGACACAGCCTGTGCCAGTGACCGGCTCCTCCCTGGGGTCCGTCCAGCCCATGCTGACCTGGCCCTGTGGCCTCTCGGGCTGTGCTGCTGGGCATTGCCACCAGGGCTGCCAGCAGCCTGCCTTGACTAGCTGCCCAGGGGACAGTTGACCATTGTGACCCAGAGCTCCTCAGATCCTGTAGCCCTTGAGGGGAGCCTCGCTGGGAAGGAGGGTCCCCAAGTGCGGCTGTCCCCAGGGTCTTTTGGGAGCGTTTGGAAGCCGAGGGTGGACGTGCACAGCTTCGTGGGCACAGGCCCCACGGCGTCCCGGCACCCTGGACCGGCACTCGCCGGCCACCTCTACTGACATTCTGCTGAGTGTCCCTGTCATCCAGTCGTCCACGTGCACATGTCTGTCCAGCTCGGTGGTCCCCGGCGGATGACCAGGTCATTTCCTGTTGCAGACAGACAAGGTGAAGCTCACCTGGAGAGACCGGTTCCCGGCCTACTTCACCAACCTGGTCTCCATCGTCTTCATGGTAAGTTCCGCAAGGCCAGGGTGGGTGAGCGTCATCTAGGACAAAGTGGCCCGTCCGTGGGGGCAGCAGGCGAGTGGGGAGCCCACCCTCACCAAGACGGAAAGGCGCCAGGGCCCCACAGAGGCCAGGGGCTCCCATGGCGGGAGGTGCGTGAGCCATCTCAGGTGGTGATGCTCAGCTCTCACGTGAGGGTGCCCCTTATTCAAGGCCCACTGCGCAGACCTGGCCTTCACAGCTGTCCTGCGGGACAGAACGAGGGGTCTTCAGGAAAACCACCAAAGAAGCCGCTAGACAAAGCCGCAGGACACTGCTCAGGGGCCTCCAGCTGGCCTCGGGGAGCCCAGTCCGAGTTGGTGCCTGGCTGCACGTGGCCTGTGGTGGATGTCCCCTGTGGCTCTGTCCTGTCCAGCCTGGGAGCTCCAGCCAGAGCCTGGTACAGCCGCCTGCCCCGAGGCCTGGACCAGGACCCCTGGCCTCCACGCCAGGGCCTCTGGGGAGTGTCTCCCGGCTCGTCCCCCGGCTCATCCCCAGCCCACACGACCCTTCTGCTGAGGACGTGGAGGCCAGAGGTGGAGCCTCTGCCCTGAGGACGGCCAGCACTGGGAGCCAGTGGGCAGCCTGCCTGGGGCCCTGTGAGGTTCAGAGTAGAAAAGACAGGCAGGGGGCTCCTAGACTGAGGGAGGAGCCGCCCGCCAAGCAACGGAAGGCATCCAGGCCTCGGTTTCCCCTGAGGCTCCCACTCGAGGCTGACCCTGGAGAGATCCAGACCCCGGCCCCAGCATGGGCCACCCACTCTGTCCTGGAGGAGGGAGCCACTCAGCAGGACGGCTGTGGTGTCCCAGGAGGTTCGGGTGGAGGGGCTCAGCCTGGCCTCGAGGGTGACTGCTGGAACTGGGGTCAGCAGAGAATGACGTGGCCCCTGACTTGGAGCCTGGCCAGCCGTCACCCCAGGGGGGCCAGGGCTCTGGAAAGAGGAGGCTCAGCTGCTCCTGGTGGAGGAGGAGCATGGTTAGCAGAGGCCAAAGGAGACCCTGGGCTTTGCCATTGTTCCTCGGGGCCAACAGGGTGCTGACGTCTCCGACTGCTCACCTGTCCTGCACCTGTTCCCTTTTGCTGACAACATGGCTGCTGCTCCTCCAGCATCACCACCACTCTCCTGGCAGGAAGCAAGGGGAGGGCTGGGGGCAGGACAGAAGGTGGCAGCAGAGACTGTCCCTCTTTAAAGGGCTTCCCCAGAGGGCCCGCCGTGATCTCTGCCTGTCCTCTCAGTCAGAGCCCTTTCTTGTGGCCAGTCCGCAGAGAGGCTGAGCAAGGAGCACATGGCGGTCTCAGGAAGGGCGGGAAGCCAGAGCCAGGGCCGAGGAATGTGGGGCAGGGAACTAGCCAGCTCCCCCGCCCGGCCCCCAGCGTCCTGGCTAGCCCTGCCACGAGTGAGTCACCCTCCGGCGTCTTGGAGGACACAGCTTTGTCCCTGGCTCTGTCCATTTGGGGACCAATGTGGGTCCTGAAGATGGTGGCGAGGACCCTGAATCCTAGAGGCGTGGCCATCCTGGGGCTCCCTGCTGAGTCGTGCAGGCCCACGGGCACCAGGCTGTCGGCCAGGCCAGGGAGGGCCCCCCGAGGGGTTTACCAGGGGAGACTGGTTCCTGATGCCCGGGATCGGAACCCAGGCTCCCGGCAGGGCTGTCCCCTGTCGGCACAGGCTGCGGGGCGGGTGTGGCCACCATTTAGTCACCAGCAGACGTCTGCAGAAGCAAGTCAAGGCCAAAGTTTAAAATGAGAGCTTCCCTAGAAACTTCCGGAAGCCACAGCCTCCCCCACGAGCAGGTGTCCCCGACCCTGAGCGTCCCTGGGAGACTGGCCAGTCGGGCCTCCCCAGCGCATCCTGGGAGCCACGCGTGACCACACTGGCACAGGGTCTTCCGCATCCGGGACGTGGTGCAGGGGCCTCATCCGGCAGCTGGACCACACGTGGCCAGCAGGCCTGGCCCTGCGGTGCAGTCCTGGGGCTCTCGGTGTGGGGCATCCACAGCGCCACGCGGGGCGGGGCCAGCGTGGGCCCCAGGGGGGCGGGGCCTGAAGAAAAGGAACCCAGACAGCCGGTGGTGGGTGGGACAGACGGCCAGGGCAGCCGCTCCGCCCGTCTCCCAGCAGCCTGCAGCCTGCATCTTCTGGAATGTTCTGGCCACAGTCGGCTCACTCCCACGGAGGACCCAGAGGTGGTCATGGCTGCTGGGAAGGTTGGGGGTCCAGCCATGCCCACCACCGCCTCCTGGGTGCAGTGGCCCCGTGGTGGCACCCTGGCCCCGCACGTCAGGACCGTCAGTGGCCGGGTCCCAGGGAGAAGCCCCGAGCAGGGAGCCCACCAGATAGCCACTGGGCTGTGGCCACCCAGCACTGGGCTGCACTGGGGACAGTGGGGAGACAAAGGCACCGTGCTGGACTCTCGGGTTGTGGCAGAGTAGCCGGTGGTCAGGGCCACGGGAGCCCCCATGGCCCCAGCGCAGTGCGTCCCCGTCCCCTCTGCAGGTCGCGGTGACGTTCGCCATCGTCCTGGGCGTCATCATCTACAGAATCTCCACAGCCGCGGCCCTGGCCATGAACTCCTCCCCCTCCGTGCGCTCCAACATCCGGGTCACCGTCACGGCCACTGCGGTCATCATCAACCTGGTGGTCATCATCCTGCTGGACGAGGTCTATGGCTGCATAGCCAGGTGGCTGACCACCATCGGTGAGGCCCACACCCGGGTTGTGCCTGCAGCGTGGCCGGGGCTAACCCCTGGGCCCCTCCTCAGGCCCGTGCCCGGCCACCTGTCTGGAGCAGGGCTGAGCGCTGGCCCGGTGGTGCCTGCGGCCAGGTCAGCGCGGCACTGTCCGTCTCTCCCAGAGGTCCCCAAGACGGAGAAGAGCTTCGAGGAGAGGCTGACCTTCAAGGCTTTCCTGCTCAAGTTCGTCAACTCCTACACGCCCATCTTCTACGTGGCCTTCTTCAAGGGCCGGTAGGGACTTCCGCCTGCGGGTGGGAGGCCACTGGGGCCAGCACAGCGGGCAGTGTGGCCCCCATGGCCACACATTTAGGAAAGGGCCACCTCTAGCTGGGCAGCAGAGCAGCGGGGACCCAGGCAGTGAGGTCCTCCAGCAGTGGGGACCCAGGCAGAGGGGACCCAGGCAGTGAGGACCCCAGGCAGCGGGGACCCAGGCAGTGAGGTCATCCAGCAGCGGGGACCCAGGCAGCGGGGACCCCGGAGCAGGCTCTGGCCTGGCTGGGAGCGCAGCGCAGCGCGGTCACCCCTGGGGCCCTCCCCAGCAGGAGGCCCCGCCCTCTGAGAGCTCCCTGATGTCCCAGGTTCGTGGGACGCCCGGGTGACTACGTGTACATCTTCCGCTCCTTCCGAATGGAAGAGGTGAGTGGGACTGTCCCAGCACCCTCGTGATGCCACCTCTGTGTGGGCTGGGGGACCAGGTGACACGGGTCTGTCCAGCGGTGGGGACAGTCCCTTTCCACCTGGCTGGTGGCTTTGATCTTGGGTAGCGTGTCGGCACCGAGTGACCCTAAAAGGAGAAACTCAGCGCTAGAGAGCGCGAACCCCATCGGGGTGCCCGTTGGCTGTCTGCTCTTTGGCTCTTTGGTGAAGCTCTGGACATTTCTGTCTCCGGCTAAAATGAGGAGAAACAGGCCTTGGCCCGTGTTCCCACCTCTCTACCCCAGACGCGGTGCCGGCCACCGGCTCTGGCGCCAGCCACCGCTGAGTCATGGCCTATGGACCTGCTCCACTGTGTCCCCAGCCAGCGGCTCTGTCGGGCCAAGCCGGGCTGTCAGGGGTCAAGTCTCGGGGAACTGGCCCACGTTCCCAGCTACAGAAGAAGGCAGCTCGGCGAGAAAACAAGGGAGCGGGGCTTCCCGATAGAGACGCTGGGAAGCAGGGTGAGAGTGGGTGGACATCAGGCGCAGGCTGATCTGGCTGGGTGCAGCCTGGAGGTCCTGCGGCCCAGGTGCAGGCCTGGGCACCCGGGGGCAGCCTAGCAGTCATGGGGATTTGTAAACAGTCTGTATGAGCCGTGCACCTTGGGCAAGGCATTTTCTCTGTGTCCGTGGTACTTTATCAACGGCCACGTGAGAGAAGTGGGGAGACGTGTTCCTACAGGAGAATCAAGTACAGGATGTGCTTCACAGAACTCATGGTCATCCAGGACACGTTTTTTGCTAATCAGATAAAAAGTTTTACCCCTGGAGCCTGCAGAGGCCTGGCCACTGAGGGGAGTGGCACTGGGCCTCAGCAGGTGACTGGCCGCCTTACCGGGTGGCTTTCCAGCCACACGGGCCCAGCCTGTACTGCTGCATGGCCTGTGGGTGGAGAGCTGGTGTTGGGGACTGGGCACGGGCCCTGGGAGACGGAGGACCCTGGGTCCCAGCCCCCCAGGCCTTGGCAACGTGAGCCCCGGTCCCAGCCTTCTCCCGGCCCCACGGCCTGCCTTAGGCAGGCCCAGCAGAGTGCCCCAGATGGGGCGGCCTGAGACACGGAACTGTGCTGCCCGCTGTTCTGGAGGCTGAAGTCCCCGAGCAAGGCGTGGGCAGGCCGCGCTCCCTCTGAAGCATGGGGAGGACCTGCTGGGCTCCCTCCAGCGTCTGGGCTGCAGGAAGCCTGGGTGGTCTCTACGCACGGCCCCAGGGTGCACCTCCCTCCCCTGGTTCTCCTCCTGGGGACACCGATCTCAGGATCGGGCCCAGCCTGCTCCAGGACAGCCTTGTCTTCGTCTGACCCTTTTCCACTGGGGGACCTGCTCAGTCTCGCGGCACCGGCAGGCGCACGTGCCCCTGTGGAGGGCTCGGGTCCACCATGGCGCGGAGCGCCTCCCTCCCCGCGGGGCGGCCTGCTGCGTCAGGGCTGACCTGGCCTGTCCTGCAGTGTGCCCCCGGAGGCTGCCTCATGGAGCTGTGTATCCAGCTCAGCATCATCATGCTGGGGAAGCAGCTCATCCAGAACAACCTCTTCGAGATCGGCATCCCGTGAGTCCCCGGGGGCAGGGCGGCCGCGGGCTCTCGTGGTGCCTAGATGACAGCACTGGGGCCGGGATGGGGGCACCAGAGCAGGGAGGTGGCCAGGGCAGGCAGAAGATGGGGCACAAGTCACTCCCTAGTGGCCAAGGAGAGGGAGGAGGACAGGTGACCCTGCAGACTGTCCCCGGAGGCAGCCAGATCTCTGGAGTGGGGACCTTGGGCTTCTCTCCCCCGCCAGTGTCCACATGGGCACCGCCAAACTCTGCCATGCTCATGTCCCTGCCAGGGCCCTCCCCTGGCCTTCGGTGGCCCTTGGCTCTCCTGCCCCTCAGCTCCTCATGAGGCCACCAAGCCGTGTGCCCCAGGGGTGGGTGCAGAGCAGCGGCTGGCAGTGCCACCACCACCATCTCCCATAAGTGAGGTCCAGGCTTAGAGCAGAGAGCTAGCCAGAGCCCGGGGGCCAGAGCCCGCCGCCGCCACCCGCCGCCCACCGGCCCCGTCTCCCCAGGAAGATGAAGAAGTTCATCCGCTACCTGAAGCTGAGGCGGCAGAGCACGGCGGCCCCCGAGGAGCTCGTGAAGAGGCGGCAGCGCTACGAGGTGGACTACAACCTGGAGCCCTTCGCGGGCCTCACCCCCGAGTACATGGAGATGAGTGAGTGGGGGCTGGAGGTGTGGCCCCGCTGTCCCCTCCCCTGCACCTAGTCCTCTGGAAGGGGCCCCGCCTTCTGAAGGCCCGGGCCAGGCGGCTGCAGTGCCCAGGCGAGGTCCCGTGGGCACAGCCTCACGCAGAGGCCGGGCGGCTCTTCCTTCTCCCCGCCATGCAGACACCCAGGCTGAGCCCAGTCAGCCCCAGTCATGTCCCTGGCAGAATGAGAGAGTTGGCAATTCACTCTCTGGGGGCTCAAAGGAGAGATGGGAAGAGGCCAGATGTGGCCTGCGTGGCCCCTGGAGCCTCCTGGTCCCACTTCCTCCCTCTCCCTCTGCCTCCCTTCACTCTGGCCACACTGGCCTCCTTGTTCCCCAAACACCTAGTCTAAGCCTGCCACCGGGCCTTTGCACCAGCTGTACTCTGGCTGGAGTACCTCAGCCTGATGTCCTGGCCCTTCCTCGGGGACTGTGCCCAGAATGTCCCCCAAAGGGATCTTCCCTGACCATGGTTAAAGGGGGCAGCACCACCCACCAGCACAGGCAGGCCCTCCCCCCCGCTGTTGCAGATCCCCAGCAGATGACTGAATCCCTCCTCCCTCCTGCTCTGTCTGCCTCCCGTGGGACGAAAGCCCCCTGAGGGCAGGACCTTCTCTTTACTGCTCATCACTCCTAGCCCGGCCCTGGAACAGGCTCCAGTATACAGCAGGGGCTCAATGTATGGTTTCTGAATGAACCGATGAGTACAGGCAGTCAGGAAGACTCACATAGGGAGTCCCGGAGGGCAGTGTCTGAGGCCGTAGGTGGCCGGTTCCCAGGCTGTGGGTGCAGGCCGTGGGGCTGCCCGGGACCCCGCCATGTGCACGGTGCCCAGGGAGCGTGGCAGGGTGGGGGCGAGCCCCGGGTGCACGGGGACTGTCCCACGGCCTCAGCTGCAGGGAACCTGGGCTGTTCCTCCACCCAAGTGCTTCCTCTGTGCTCCTCTTGCTGGCCACGAGGCCCCCGAGGCCGCCAGCTGCCCCGCGGCCGCACAGAAGGCGCCTTGCCCCGACTCTGGAGGTGGGTCTGGGGGCTGCTGCGAGGCCCTCTCCCTTCTGCTGGAGGGAGATAAGCCGCCAGGCTGCTCCTTCCCCAGCGGCTGGGCCCGCGTGGGCCTCTGTGGGCCTTGGCCAGCAGGTCTGGGTGCAAGGCCACCCTGCCTGCAGGGTCACACCAGAGGACGAGACGCGCAGCCTGGGACAGGCCGAGATCCGGGGGCCCGTTGCCCGGGTTGCCTTTCCCTGGCAGCTGGGGGCCTGGGCACCAGGGTGGCCGTCCACACCCAACCAGACCACCTCAGGCCACTGCTGTGCCCCTTCCTTCTCCGCATCCCATCAGCCACCACCGGTCCTCGAGGGGAGACTAGGCTGGGCCCCGGGCCTCACCGCCCCTTCACCCTTCCTCTTCCCTTTAACGCCGAGGAGGCCGTGTTGTCAGGAGTGACCACAGCCCCCGGCCCACGTGCAAGGCCCACGTGCAAGGCCCAGGTTTCGCAGCTTATCTGGTGCCCATCACTCCTGGGCCGGGCGTCCCACACAGCCCACCCCTCAGTGTGAGCTGAGGTCACCAGGACTGCCCAGGCACCGGGGCTCCCAGGTATCCCCTGCCCGGCCCACCCAGTGCTAACAGTGCCCGCACTTGGCTGGCCGGGCACACGGTGACACCTGCGCGCTTCCTTGTTTACCGCCTGGCACAGAGAGCCTTAGGCCAGGTCCTGCCGGGCAGTGCCTGAGCCTCTCCCTACTGGGTCCCCTGCAGCAGCCCTCCCCGGCCTTCCCCGGGAGCTCAGCCCCGTCGGCTCCTATCCAAGGCCACGGGAGCCCCAGAGCCAGCGCCCAACCGGGGAGACCAGCACCGAGGCCGGGAGGCGGAGGCGGAGGCGGAGGCGGAGGCGGAGGCGGAGGCGGAGGCGGAGGCGGAGGCGGAGGCGGAGGCGGAGGTGGAGGCTGGCAGGGAGAAGGGGGCCGTCCTGTGCCTGAGGCCCGGGGAGGGGTCACTTGGGCTCTGAGGACAGCAGTGGGGGCAGCCTCCCGACGCAGGGAGCCTCTGCTGGCGTCCTCCCCAGCTCGGGCACAGCGAGTGCAGGCTGGACCTGCGGGGCTTTGTCCCGTGAGTGACCAGTGCCCACCTCCTGAGCTAGCCCTGGGCCGCACTGCCATCATCCAGTGTCCAGCATGGAGGTCAGAGCAGCACGTGGACCTCAGTCCCCTCTGGTCTGGAGGTCCCTGGGGTCATGTGGTTCTGTCACAAGACCCCGTCCAGGCAGCTGCAGTGGCCGGGGCAGGAGGTTCCTGGGAGTAATGGACTGGCACAGTGGGTCCGGCCACCCCCACTCCACGAGCTGATGGCCCTGGCCCTCTCCCAGTCATCCAGTTCGGCTTTGTCACCCTGTTTGTGGCATCCTTCCCGCTGGCCCCGCTGTTTGCCCTGCTGAACAACATCATTGAGATCCGGCTGGACGCCAAGAAGTTCGTCACCGAGCTCCGGAGACCAGTGGCCGTCAGAGCCAAGGACATAGGTGAGCGGCTGCGGGACAGGTGGGGGTCCTGGGGAGGGCGGTGGCCGTCAGAGCCAAGGACATAGGTGAGCGGCTGCGGGACAGGTGGGGGTCCTGGGGAGGGCGGTGGCCCGGGAGCTGGAGGCTCCTCACGGCTCCATCCTCCACCCTCACCTAAGATGCTTGGCCTCCGGGGCACTGGGGAAGCGTGGGCGTGTCCAACCTACTGTCACCCACCCAGGAACCATGCTGTCCCTGCGTGACCCTCCACGCAGGTCAAGGTCAAGGTCGAGGCTGGGGAGGCACGTGTAAGGTCCCCACAAAGAATGGCCGTGGGGGCCAGGTCCGGGGTGGTGAGGGCCTGTCCCCAGAGCACTTGAGGAGAAACGGGATGTCAGAGGAGGCAGGGACGGGCCAGGGGAGCCAGTCCGCGGGCTGCAGACCTCGGGCCCCAGCCGCACCGCCACTCACCAGCACCTGACCCTACAGTGAGACGGATCCTCCCCTGAGCACACAGGTGCCCAAACCGTCTCACCTTTGACAAACTCACGGAGAAGAGCGTCGCTAAGTCTTGAGACAAGCAGGATTGAGTTCCTCGGGGGATGTTATTTCTAATGTTGCTAAAATAAAGTCGCACAGCGGTGACAGCCTGTGGGTGGGCGCTTGTCGCCCAACACGCCCTTGCAGAACCGCAGAGGGGCCCCTCCAGCCCTGGACGTCAGGCTTGTTCTCCGTGGAGGACCCTCAGATCGCGCTCTGCTCGGGGTTCTGTCCTGCAGTGGGTGGACAGCCCCTTGGTCCACACTTTGGCCTCTGGTGACGTGGCCACCCCCTGGTGTGGCCAACCCCCACCAGTGGTGACCTGATCTGTGGGTCCCCCGCCTCCCGACTCCAGGATAATGTGGTCACTGCATCTCAGAAGGAACCGGCAACATGTTCAGTTCCAACACCATCAGCTCAGCCATTGCTCCCGGGTCACCTGCAGCCCCCGTTAGTGCTGTGGGGTCTGTGCTGAGACTTGGGCCCGTGTGGGGCGGGAGATCAGCCAGGGGCGCCCCACGGAGCCCGGACACTGCGGCTTCCTCGTGCCACCTCTTCCGGACGGCGGGGACTCGGCAGACAGCCCCTCCTGCTGACCACCCGAGACTGTGTCTACCTCCAGCCCCAGCGCCCCTGATTCTGTTCCCCGTCAAAGGCCAGAAAGCGAACGTCCTAAACTTTGGTCCAAAAAGGCGATGGACGCCTCAAGTCTTGGAGCAACTGTTCTTCACGACGTCCCTTCCCGGGGCCCATGGGAAAGAGGCTGGACTTGGCACAGGTGGCGTCCATCAGGAGCGCGGTAGGCTTGTCCCCGGGGCTCCTCAGCACCCCACCCTGAAGACCAAGAGCACTGTGACCAAGGTGAACCGTGGGGTCCTCCCGGGAACCTCGGGAGGAAGCCTGAGCAAATCCTGCCTGTCCCCACCTGGGGACACGAGACCCATGGGATGTCAGAGCTTCACCAGAGAACTGGAGCCACAGCCGGCCTTGTGACCGACCGTCACACCAGAGGCCCAGAGAGGAGCAGTGGGTGCACCCTGACCATCCCGGGGACTCTGCAGCTCTGTCCCCAGCGAGGAACGCCCTTCTCGGCCACACTCCTCCCAGTGGCCCCCTCCCGCTGCCCGGGGCCCTGGCTGACCCTCCGTGGGCGTATTTGCTTTGGCATCCCTGGCTTCCAGAGGCTCAGGCTGTCCCCAGACGGTGGCACTTGAACACGTGGAAACCCAGAAGGGTGAAAGAGCACATGGAGACGCGGGCTGCCTGCAGCCCCCGGGGTGGGGACGTTGGCGCCCCAGGTCAGTCGGCTCCTGGTCCCCCAGCTCTCACGGTCCCGGGGCTCAGAGGTGTGCTCTGGCCCTTCATGGCTCCGCTGGGCTCCGTTGCTGCCACCTGCTGCTCAACAGGCTTTTGTTTTCCTCCTGTGATCCGTGCAGGGCCAGCATCCCTGGGGACAGAGGGCCCAGTGGCCCCTGTGACCTGTCCCCCATGCACCCTGGCTGCCTGGGGGATGCTGTGTCCCAGAGTGGCTTCGTCACTGGCCTCTGCCGTGGCGAGGGCGCAGTGGGTCCTGCAGGAAGCCCACCTGCGTGGGAACTGGCCGCAGCTCGGCGCTGAGCTCTGGCTCCCCGCGTCCTCAGGGCCGCTGGTGAGAACCCGCTGGCCTTCAGCGCCTGGCATGGGGACAGGGCAGGTGCGGTTCCCAGGCACTTCCGTGTCAGGTTCTTGGAAGTGGGGCCTAGAGTCCCCTGGGATAGTTAAAAAAAAGTCCTTGAAACAGGGGTAAACACGAGGCAGTTCCCCTCGAGGGTCTCCATGAAAGGAGCCCGAGAGGTCTCCAAAAGAAGGCCCCCTTCACGGGGACCTCCGAGTCAGGAGTCACCTGCAGCCAGTGTCAGAATAACAGGGGGTCAAAGTGCAGCTCCTCCCCCAGGAGAGGCTGGGGCGGGGTCCTGCTTTTCTTTCTCCCAGGGCTCCGCAGCCCACGGTGTGGGGTCCACACAGGGCAACCCCTGGCCAGGGCTGCGGACCTGCAGGGCCTGCCCGTCCCACCCCGGCCCTCCTGCCCACTGTTTCCTGTTGTCATCTATCTGGGCCTGTTGGGTGATCACCTGGGATGACCCTCACTTGCCCAAGGACACCCTGAGCTCAGGTGCCACCTCCCGGGGAGCCAAGCCCAGGGGTATCACCCCAGCACCCACCTGAGGTCTCAACATGGCCCCCGACTCAGATCCCAGAGGCCCGTGTTCTTCCTGGACCCAGAGCTACAGGCCCATTTATGAGTCTCTTGAAACTTGGGAGCCCTGAGTGTTTTGTCCCCAGCCTGAGGGGATCTGGTTTGGAGTGAATGCTCTGCTCTTAAAGGGCTGAAGGGATGCAGGGGGGTTCCCCAGGTGCAGAGAACATCCTGGCCTGCAGGGGGCGCCACCCTGGGCCACGCGCTGTTGTCACGGAGACAGCTGTCATGGAGACCTGTGGTCATGGAGACAGTGGTGCCCGCCACCTGGACCAGGGCTGAGGATCTTTCAGAAGCAGCAAGTCTGCATCTTTAAGTCATGGGCGAGGCTAACGGAGTGGGCATGCAGCTGGACGGTCCCACCAGCCCCTGCTTGGTGGCCCGCTCTGCGCTCTCTTGTTGGAAGGGGCTCTGTACGCTCAGGCCATTCAGCAAACGCCGACCTGATGGCGCCGACCTGTGGACTGGACGCGGGTTGAAGTCCAGGAGACACAGGATGCACTGTCCACAGCCTACCTGGGCCCCTTAGCGGGCGGGTGCTGCTGTGTTCCCGCCCGTGACCAAGCGTGGCGACATCACGAGGAGGGCCCAGCCCCCCCGTGCCGTCCGGCTCACTCCCCCGTGGCCTCCTGCAGGGTGGGTAGCCTAGTGCCACCCCACAGGGCCCATGGCTGCCCCACCTGTGCCATCAGGAAGCTAAACCGAGGGCCGCCCGCCGTGGGAAGCAGACGTAGCCTTGGCAGGCGTCGCGTCTCCAGTGGGCTGTGGCCCGGCCTGAGGACTGGAGGTGGCGGCAGGGAGTGGGACACTCTGCCCAGATTGCTGGCCACATGTGGGCCTGGAGCGCCCCTGCCCATCACAGAGAGGACCGGGATCGCCCAGCCACTGGCCAGGCTGGGAGGGAGCCATCTCGGCCCCTCACACAGTGACCTGAGCCCGTGGGACACTGAGAACCGTGGCACTGAGCTGTCTCTGCAGACTGCCAGGGTGCACCCCAAAAACAGGAGCTGGGGCTGCCGGCTGCACGCGGCCCCCTGCAGCCTACGCCTGTCAAAGCCGCCTGCCTCGTTCTTGTCACTGGACAATAACAGCCAGCATGGCCCGCCCAGCCTATCCGAGAAGGGCTGCTCAGGGGTGTCCAGCGCTGGCCCGGGACGCGGATCTGGACTGCTGGGGTAGAGTTGGCAGGGCACCCTGGGTAGAGGCCCAGCGCCGGGCCCTGAGCCGGGGCCCTTCCTGGCTCACTGGCCTCACCTCCATGGGAGGCAGAGAGCGGGGTGTCCCCCGCCGTGTCCTGTGGTCCTTTTGTCCATCTGTGACTTGGGGTGACAGAAGCAAGATGGTGTCCAGACGGGGACAGCTCATGCTGCAGTGCTTCAGGGTCATTGGCTATGATCCTCACCCCAAAGCCACCTCTGGCCTGTCCCTGACACCTGCACTGCCCGCGAGCCACAGATCCGGCCCTGTTGGGTTGGGTATGGCCGGAGCCCCGAGGGGCCCTGTGACAAGCACGTCTCTCAGAGGCCTCAGTTGCTCAGGGACAGTGGACGGCACAGGCACAGCGTGGCCAGGCCTTCACTGGGCTCCCCGGCCTCCCAGACAGTGCCCGTTGCCACACGCGTCCCTCTGGGTGCCTTGGGGAGCCGGCGCCTGCGGGGCCGCCGGGGCGCTGCCTGCGGGGAGGGGTCTTGAGAGCTGGTTCCTCTTCCCCAGGCATCTGGTACAACATCCTCAGAGGCGTTGGGAAGCTGGCCGTCATCATTAACGTAAGTGACGCTGGGGACCTTGCAAACCCAAGTCCTGCCCAGCCGCGGCAGGCAGTGCCCCCAGAGGCAGAGCTGGGCCCCCACCTCCGGCTGCAGCCCTCGGCTCCTGGGACAGGGTAGCCTCTCTGGAGATGTCCCTTGATCTGGGGCTGGGGACTCTGGGGAGGAATGGCCGTCCCCTGCCTTTACTGCAGACTTGCAGGGAGGTTCCCGCCCCCCACCCACCCTGCGCCCTGCACACGCGCCCCCCGGGGTCCTGAGAACAAAGGAACAAGAGGCAGCAGGGAGGGTCAGTGACAGAGGGACAGTGACAGAGACCCAGGATGGAGAGCCAGCAACCTCGCTGCTGCTTTGGGGGGCTAATTACACACACACACTCACACATACACACGCGCACGCACGCACGCACACACACGCACGCACACAGTCATACACATGCACACATGCGCACACGCACACACATATGCACGCACACGCATGCATGCATGCACACACACTCACACACATGTGCAATCACATAGACACGCGCACACACACGCTCACGCCTGCTCTTTAAAGAGGCTGGGGCGGCTGAGACTGGTGAGGGGAGAAGCCCCTCAGCGCCTCCCCAGCTGTGGACGATGGTGGACGCTCCCTTCCCAGTGCACAGTGTGCCCTCCTGGCTTCTCCCGCAGAGCCGGCCTGTGGGTTCTGAGTGGCACCACCTGGGTCCCCGCAGTCCTCCCCTTGGCCTCCTGTGGAGGTCGGCCGGACCCTGCCTGCGGATTCCCCTGCCCCAGGTCTAGCTCTGTCCCGCTGGCCAGCACCTGTCTCAAAACCCGAGACTGAATCCCGGGCACATAACCCAGGCAGCCACTGAGTGTCCACAGCAGAGGAGCCCAGGGCCCTCGTCCTGCACCCTGCAGCCAGTCTGCCCAGCAGCTGACACCTTGTGGGGGCAGGGGGCTCCAGGAGCGGGGCCTAGGCCTCCATCCCCACCGGGCGGAGGCGCTCTAGCCTCAGAGCCCGGCCTCCCTCCTGCCAGCCAGCTGCTCCCCAGATGGTGGCTTCGAAGCCTTTGTTGAGGGGAGGTGAGCACAGGGCACACCTGTGGCTGTCTGTCCCACCTTGGTGAGTGAGCGCAGGGCCCGAGCTTAGGGCTCACCTTGATGGGGCTGGGACCCTGAGGTGCAGCCCGTGTGCTGGAGGGGGTGCTGTGAGCAGGTGAGGACACTGGACAAGTGTTAGCGTTTACCACTCAGTGGGCTACTAGAACTTTCCAGATCTCTGCTCTCTTTCCCATGCCAACCCACCAGTGCCCACACAGCCCCTGGAGGTGGGGACTGTTAGGGCCCGTCTTCTAGGAAATATAGCCAGGGCACAGAGAGGGCAAGAGACTTCCCCAGAGCTACACAGCCTGTTTCAGAGGCTGCTGGGCTTCGGGTCCTGCTCTTGGATTACCACGAGAGCAGGCCGTGATGGACTGAGCTGGGCAGAGTGGCACCCAGGAGGCGGGGGGCTGTGCTCAGGGGGTGTCCTGTTTAATAAGAACACAAAAGAGGCACAGAGAGGTTGGGGGGTTTGCCACACAGTGGAAGGCAGGCAGCGCGCCCTTCCCTGTGCCCTCCTGCTGCGCCCAGGAGGCTGGCAGGGAGCCGACAGGGCACGCCGACCCTCCTGGGGTCATGCTCACCCGCTGTTCCCGGGCAGGCCTTCGTGATCTCCTTCACGTCCGACTTCATCCCGCGCCTGGTGTACCTCTACATGTACAGCCAGAACGGGACCATGCACGGCTTCGTCAACCACACGCTCTCCTTCTTCAACGTCAGCGACTTCCAGAACGGCACAGCCCCCAACGACCCCCTGGACCTGGGCTATGAGGTGCAGATATGCAGGTACCACTCCCAGCGGCTCTCTTTGAAGGGCCAGTTCAGTGGGTTTCTGGGAAACCTAGGTTTGAGCCAGGATTCTTTCAGAAGCAAGTCACAGAACCACTCAAACTTGTTTAAAAAAACATACCGGGGGGACGTTGGAAAGGGGCAATACACTAGTTAGCTATAATTAAGAGGTCCGTGATAGCTTCAGGTGTGGCTGGATCCAGGAGCTCCAGTCGTTAGGCCCCACACTGACACAGCCTCCTTAATTTGCTTCCTCTGTGTCAGTATCAGTTTCTGGCAGGCAGACACCATCCACCAGCAGCTTCTGCCCGCAGTCCCCACGGGGAGACCTTCTCTGTTCCAATAGCGAAAGCCCTGATGTGAGTCTTGCAGCCTGTCTTGGGCCACATGCCTATCCTTGCCACGGCCAGGGCTCCAGGACTCCTGCTGGCCAGGCCTGGGGAGGGGTCACAGTCAGGAAATGGGGATCTTAAGGAAACTTGGGGCGTTGTGGCTTGAACAAGGCCCCTGAGGAGGGGCGGGGCAAAGCAGGGGCGTCTGGACACCAGGTTGCCACTCTTGGCCTCCAGGTGCTCAGGGCTCCCAGGGCTCAGGGATGACTGAGGCAGAGCCCAGGGTGCCCTGCACCAGTGCTGGGGACCTCAGTGCCCAGGGGGGAGGCAGGGCGGGCAGAGGAGGGCCCGCCTGGGGGAGGGACAGAGGGTCCCAGGGGTAGCTTGGCCCCTCTCCTGCACCTCCTCTGGGGCCTCCGCCTCCGCCTCCACCCCACGCCCCGGAGCTGGCTCTCCTGCCTCCAGCCGTTGAGCACATGGAAGGGGCTGGGAAGGACCACTGGGGCCCGTGGTGCTGACAGTCACAGAAGCAGCTTGGCGCATCAGCAGTAAAATGGACATGCTTATCCCACGTGCCCCTGTCCAGGCAGGGCCCGCGCACTCGGGACCCCGCCAGCCGGGTCTGCCAACCAGGGGACCATTTCCCGTTTCAAACACCTGCCCGCGCAGCTGCTTCTGGTGCACAGGGGCGGGTAATGCCCCACCGGCCCTTCAGCCACGCGGTGCCTGTGGACAGCCTTTCCCCAGGATCCTGGGCGGGCTGGGAGCAGGTGCCCAGCATCACGAGGGTCAGAGCCCATGCCACTGGGCAGGGGAAAGATCAGATCCCGGGCTCAGCTTCCACAAAATGTCACGCCATCAGATAGCTGAGAAATTTCAAGGGGAGCCGTCTTTAGGCAGGCCTGTCTGTAGGCGTCCATGGGACCTTAGTCACAAGAAAGTCCCAGGGTGACTGGTGCCAGTCCGCCACCTGCTGGCCTCCTCCGGAACTGCACCGGGGAGCTGGCAGCCAAGGAGGGCTCTGGGGACCCTGGCACCTGTGTGCAGGAGCTGACTGCAAAGGCTGGCCTCCTGGAGACTGCCAGGGCCACCCTGTCACACGGCACAGCACCTCTTGTGTCCCCGTTGAGATCCCGTGCAAGCCGACGCTCAACTCAAGTAGAATGGAGGATAACGGCGAAGAAGCAAGATGCTCAGAGACACGGTCTCTTTGTCATCGCTGAGGACTTATGTGGACATTGTTGGGCGAGAGGAGAAACTCAGTGCGCTGGAAAGGCCTGGGTGGCCGGGTCCCAGGCCCTGGACAGGGGAGCCGCTCCCTGTGCCCTCACATGAGGGTGCCCAGCCACGCGGGGAGCAGGCTAGGGCCTGGCTGTTAGGACCCACTGAAACAGACCGTGGGCGCGGCTGCCCCTCTGCCTCTGCCCTGCGCAGTCTTGTGCCGTGGTACTGAGGGCTCCCCACCATCACAGCCACGTCCAGCTCCTCCCTGAGGGAGCCACTGGCCAGAGGGACAGCAGAGTCTGGTCAGGGAGTGGCAGAGGTGGCGTGGTGGCGTGGAGAGCCTTGTGCCCCAGAGAGGATGGCCCGTCTCCCTGGGGGGGCCCAGGTGGTTGTGAGCTGGCGGGGGCATCCTGTCGACAGAGGTCAGCACAGGGGCAGGAGGTGTCCAGACACAGCTGCAGGTAGGTTTTGAGGGGAGCGGCTGAGAAGGGGAGAGCTTCTTCTCCCCTTTCTTCCTCCCCGTGCCAGCGGTTCCATGGAGCCCAGTGGGTAACTTCTCTTGGAAATGCAGACATGTCCGTGAAGCCCAGCTCAAGGCCAGAGGCCTGGTTCACCCATTTCCATAAGATCAGGCGAGGCCGGCAGCGAGCAAAGGAGGCCGATTTAAAAGGCCGCTGAGCGAGGCTTTTTTAGACTCACTCGATCAGACCACAGAGTGGACAGGAGAGGGTCTGAGAAACTGCGCGGGAGCTCGACTGGAAAGGGATTTTATGGGGCTCACGGCCAGAAGGGGGGGGGGGCTTGGGACAGGAAAGAGGATTTTTAGGGTCCCTTGTCCGGCTGGAGTTGGTCAGGGAGCTGGCTGAACTCCAGGATTGGCCGGGGGTCCTGCTGATTGACAGGCGCTAGTCAGGAGATCTCGCTGATTGACAGGCGTTTCTGCGGGCTCCTGACTGATGTTTCTTTCCCTCGCGGGCTGCTTTGTTCTAAGTCACCGCCACCCACCTGACAACTTCTACAAACTGCTACATGGATAAATGTTTGTGAGAAACTAGTAAGGGGGTGTCCAGCACCTGGAGAGCCGATTTCTTCCCGGCCAGTGGCCACGTAAGATAGGGCAACATGAAAATAGGGAGTTTATCTACGTGGACTCTTTTGCTGACAGTCCTAAAATCGGCCGTGGTGAGGATTTCTGCAGAAGCTTAGCTAAGGTGTTTTTTTGGGGGCCCTACAGACACAGGTCCCCACAGGCTCGGGGCATCTCCCGGTCTCTGTAGAAGAGTTGGGACAATGGTAAGGCCTCGGGGGACCTGTGTGGGGGCCTGCTCTCCCTGTGGGACACCCAGGGGCACTGTCTAAACCCGACCAGCGGAGGGGGACACCTGTGACTCAGAGCTGCAGAGGAATGACCTGGGGCAGCAGAGGGTCGTGTCCCCTGTTGGGGTGCTGGGACGAACCCTCACTCCCTTGGCCTCAGAGGAGAAGTGGTTTCCAAACCGTGTTCCGTGGACACCTCCTGGAGTTTGGTGGAGGCCAAGGGTGGACTTGAGGGAAGGCCACCCCATTCCCGCGTGGGGCCTCTACTGTTCCCAAGTCTGGAAACTTCTGAACCAGAGGGACACGGAGCTCGTCTCTGGAGGCCACAGCTGGGCCCTCAGGGCCACATCCTCCAGCAGGCACAGACGCCCCAGGCCGTGGGCAAGGCCCCCCACCTTCCCTCCCGAGCTGCCCAGCGCCACCAGAGCCCACGCCGCGCCTAAGGCCTGCCTCCCCCGACAGGTACAAGGACTACCGTGAGCCCCCCTGGTCGGAACACAAGTACGACGTCTCCAAGGACTTCTGGGCCGTCCTGGCGGCCAGGCTGGCCTTCGTCATCGTCTTCCAGGTGTGTGGCCCTGTCCCCTGGAGGTTTGAGGAGGAGGCACTTGGAGAGTGCCCGGTGCCCACGGTCAGTGCCGGGCTCTGGAGACCCCTCCAGGCACGCGGAGATGCTGCTCTGGGACGCCCGAGAGGGGCACCCGGCCAACCTGGGCACTTGCAGCCCCCCTGAGGGGACCTGGAGGGACGTGCGCCTGCAGGGCTCTGGGCCCATCTGGGAGGGTGGGTGGTCCTGAGAGCCTGCAGGAAGGGGAGGCCGCACCCCGTCCCGCCTTGGTCTTCACATTCCAGCCTAGTGGCCAGGAGACCAAGGGCTCTCATGACCCTACCCCCCGCCAGCAGTAAAGGGACCTGGCCCTTCCAGCCCGTCTCTGGGGAGGGGGACAGCACGTGTGCCCTGGGACACGTGGGCACCGCCGAGACTCTAGCCACCTGCGTCCTGGCCAGGAAGGTGGTGGCCCAGAGCCCAGAATCAGGAAGCTCCAGACCTGGGTTCTGCCAGCTCTGCCCTCCACACGCCCCAGGGGTGGGCAGTCCCTGCACTCTGAGCTCAGAGCCCGTCCCGCCAGAGCCCGGGGCCAGGGTTCCTGGCTGTGGGAGGCCCCTCAGGGAAGGGGCTGAGCAGGAGGCATTCTGGCCACAGTGGGGGCTGCAGCAGCCAGAAGAGGGGCAGCTGGGGGCCACCGGCCTTGTCCCAACAGGGGCCACTTCCTCAGCTAGAGGGACATTCAACCAACAACAGGGTTTCTGGTTTTTCGCAAAAAGCAACTTAACCCGCATCCTAGCCTCCAAAACGTCCCATCTGAGGCAGCCAATGTCAGCCATGGTGATAGTGCAGGGCCGGGGTGCAGCGGACCGGCTGGTGCTCCGGAGCCCCTTCCCTAAGGCCCCAACACTCACGGTTACATTTGGTGGCACGTGAGCCATTGCTTCACTTGGGAAGCCTTCCAGCCGAGGCACCAGAGTTATTCAGGGAAGTTTTCAATCCATATTCACTCAAGAAAGGCCACCCAAGCGGGGCACAGTGGAGCGCAGAGGCGCACACCTGCAATCCCAGCAACTCAGGAGGCCGAGGCAGGAGGATCACAGGTTGGAGGCTAGCCTCAGCAATTTAGTGAGGCCCTGTCTCAAAAAGAATAGATGGGGATGTGGCTCAGTGGTCGAGCACCCCTGGATCCAATTCCCAGTAACACTGCCCCCCAAGAAAAAAAGTTCCACAGGAATTCCTGGAGGGCCTGCTGGTAATTATTACCTCACTTAGACCTTCTGGGAAACTGACACCCAGAGCAACCAAGGGCTGTGCCCAGGCCAGGAGCAACAGGGTGAGGCTCTGCCAGGTGGGAGCAGGGAGAGGGGTGGGGCAGGTGACAGGTGGGAGCAGGGAGAGGGGTGGGGCAAGTGACAGGTAGGAGCAGGTAGAGAGGTGGGGCAGGTGCACAGGAAGAGCAGAGAGCGGTCAGGCACACGGGCAGGTGGGGCAGGTAGGGCGCCCTTCCCAGTGGCATCCTTCCCGCCCTGTGGGTGACGGTCCCCCTTGCAGAACCTGGTCATGTTCATGAGTGACTTTGTGGACTGGGTGATCCCGGACATCCCCAAGGACATCAGCCAGCAGATCCACAAGGAGAAGGTGCTCATGGTGGAGCTGTTCATGAGGGAGGAGCAGGGCAAGCAGCAGCTTCTGGATACGTGGATGGAGAAGGACCGCGACAGCGAGGAGCCCTGCAACCACCACAGTGCCACGCCCCGCCCCGACGCCGGCGCGGGCTCGGCCGTCGCGTACCGCGGGGGCATGCTGTAGCCACGGCACTGCGGGCGGCGGCTTCCCGACGGGGGCGCCCTGGGGTGGGCGCACTTTGCCCCTCCAGGGTCCTGTGGCCCCGGAAACGTGGAGGGCCACTTTCCGATGGGACATTTTTCTCTCTTCTTTCTGTTTTTCTCCTGTTTTTGCACAAAGCCATTATGCAGGGATTTTTTTATCGTTCGTATTCAAGGTGAACCAACGTGATGGCTGGTGGTGGGCAACAGCGGGCCAGGGCGGGCGCTTCGCAGTGGGGAGAGAGCAGAGGCCCTAGAAATCATCTGTTCCTCTGACAGATGCCTTAAGACAGATGAAAGATGGTCTCCACTGCCTCCGGCCAGAGCTGGAGCCAGGTTTGGGGAAGAACGGAGAGGCTGAGAGGGACTGTGGGGACGCAGCTCCCAAACGTGTCACCTGGCCGGCCGCAGGTCAGAGAAGCCCAGGACTGATCCTGACTCCTTCGGTGAACTCGGAAGCTGAGGCACTCTGCTCACAGAGGTGCCTGGCCCTGGCCACACAGGGGCACGGGGGCTCCCGTCCATCCTTGGAGCCCAGGGGTCCAGGTGTCCTGACTAAGCCATAGCTGACCAGCACCCCTGCGCCAGCCTCACACCCTGGGGTGCTGGGCTGACATCAGTCGATGCCCTTTTGTGAGATGAGACCAGGGTGACAGGGAGGTGGGCAGGGGAGATCACCTCCAAGGTGACCTGAAGGAGGTTCAAGGGCATCACCAAGTCCTAAGGCTTCTGAGAGTCATTCAAAGCTTTAGAATACTTCTTGGTTTTGTTTAGTTGTTTAAAACTAAACTGCGGGATGTAGAGGATTTTTTTTTTCTGTAGCTCAAGGTGGAAGTTTATTAGTTAACCAAGTATCATTGAGAGGAATTTCAAATACTGTTACTACCAAAGATTTTTATTAATAAAGGCTTCTATTTTGGTAACACTTCTCTATATTTACTCACAGGAATGTCTCTTGGACAATTATCATTTTAAAAGCTTGTAGATAAAAAAAAAAAAAGTTCTCATAAATGATATGAGTGATCTAAATTTGCACTGGTTATACTAACCAATTATCTGAAATTTCTCAAGCACCAAGGAAACAAAATGTTTCATCAAGGCCAAGGAGAAAATCTCCATGGTGTGTTTGAGCGTTTCCTGGTGGTGAAATTGACATTCCTGCAGTTGACTGGCGGTGGTCGGAGCCCCTCGAGGGGGCAGGTCTTCCTTATTTGCTAAAATCAAACTGATGCTTCTATTTTCTCTTGTACAGTAGGAGTTTCAAATGGAGTTTTTGTATATAAATATTGTGTTAAGAATTAGGTGACTACCAAAATTCCTTTTATGGAATCCATTTTTTAAAAAACTGAATGTACACAAATCCACAGAGGACTGTGGCTGAATATTCATTTAAATAAATTTGAAAACACAATGCTCTCCTTACTTGAGTGCTGCCTTCATGACCTGTGCCCTAGGACACTCCAGAGGCTCCCCAGAGTCCGCCACATGTCCTCGCTTGAGGCTGCACTTTTGGGTGTGACTGACCAGGAAGGTGTGTTTCCTGTGCAAGTTGTCCTAGGTGTTCCTGGGACTTCAGCTCCTGCGTATGTGTCAGTGTGCGAGTGTGGGGCTGCACGGGCTCATGTGCGCGCCCAGGCCTGTCTGTGCACATGTGTGCGAGTGCGCACCCGCTGGCGTGTTTGTGCGCTTTGCCTCTGCTTGTCCCGGGCGTGCGCACGCGTGCTCGCCCGCACTCTGGGCCTGCGTGCAGCGGCGCGCGTTTGCTTTCGTGGTCTCGGGCTTCGCATCGTGGAACCCACGCACCTGCCAGCGCTGAGTGCGCACGCGCGTCCTGGTGTCCGCTCGCGGGAGGTGTCCCGCCAGCTCACCAGGCTCTTGCGGGCTCCTGAATCCACAACCCAACACGTTGGTACTTAACTCAGTTAAATTTCCCAAACCTTTTGGGGAGCCCCCTTGGATTGCCAGGGTACTCACGTGGGCAAGCGAGGACACTTTAAGCGCCACCCGTGGTCACCATCATGCCAGTGAAGCCTGGCGACGTTCACCCCCAGGACCCGGGAGCCCCGGCCCCGCCGTGGCCTCGTGCGCCCCCTAGTGCCGGCGCGGAGCTCACGTCCAGTGCGCCGCGGGGGAGGACGCGCCGGGTTGGCACTTGCCAGGTGAGGCCGGGACGCAGCGCTCGGGGGCACGGCAGAGCGCGGGGAGGGGAGCTGCCAGCAGGCGCGCCCCTTCCCTCTGGGATGACCCTGCAGAGGGAGTCGGGTGCTGGACCAGAAAACTAACCCTGGAACCGGAAGATTGGAGAGCCAGGAAGGGATGCTCAGGACAAGTGGCAAGGGCTCTGAGTGTCAAGAGAGTGGCCTAGTTGGTCAGCGAAGCCCTCGCGACGTGAGCAAAGAGGAACCAGAAACAAAGCCCTCAGGTCTGACCTCCTCGGTTCCCCCAAAGATCCGGGTCAGGCAGAGGAACTGTCGTGCAGAGGTCCCGAGGCAGAGAGTAGGTTTCAGGAGTGGGGGGTGCGGGTGGCAGTGGCCAGAGCCAACTCGGGAAGGACAGGGCGTGCTGATCCGCATGGCAGCGGGTGGAATAGGAACCGTGGGCCTGGCCGAGCGTTGGCTGCCTTGGCAGCTGTAAGGTGGCCCTTCAGCGGGAGGCGACGGGAGAAAGGGGCAGAGAAATACAGGCACTCGATGCTGGGGATTGCGGGAAGGCCAGTGCAGAGAGACCTGTGGACCTGGGACCTGGCCATGAAAAAGCCTCAGCCAGCCAGTGCCATCATTTTAGATGGGAACAGAGATGGCCAGGGCTCTGCTGCCCACATGGCTACATGACCTTCCTTGGGTCCAGACCCGGGCACCAAGGACCACTGGAGTCTCTACGGGGGTCCTGGGGCCTCGAGGGTGGGAGGCAGGTCCCAAGGCCTGGACTGGCCCAGCTGCACACAGTCCTGGAAGAGGGATTGAGCCCCAAGGGTGGAGGCTGCTGTGGGAGGCCACCTCCCACGGTGGGCTCAGCACTTGTTAGTTTTTTTGGTTGATTTCCCACGTGTTTTTTAAAATCCAGGGAAATATACATCCAAAATCCAGATTCGCATGTTCTACTGAAAAGCCACTCACCTGATTCTGCCCCCCTGCCATGGTGTCACTCTGGTATCTGACAACTGTCCTCCAGCTGCCCCACCACCCCCCGCCAGGCATGCCTGTCCACAGGCTGGGGGACAGCTGGGGCTGGGCCTCCTGGAGTCACTGGCCTTGCTACATAAGCCTTGGGCCAAGGTCCCTGTCCTTGGTTCAGGACCAGCTGTGGGAATCCCTGGAACACCTTAGCCAAGGTCTGTGCCTGGGACAGGGCAGTCCCCACCTAAGACTGAGATCAGAGCCTGCCCCACGCACCCCAACTCCCACATACACTCAACCACAGGTCTCCAGGAACCACTCATGAGTCCCTAAAATTACCCCACCACAGGGGGTCAGTCACCATGCATCAGACAGTACTCGTGTACTTGTCCACGTTGTGTGGACACCACAGGAAAAAAGGAGAGTGAACGCTTGACAGGCCAGGAAGGGGCACCTGGTACAGCACCAGGCACAGGCAGGGCCAGGAAGTGCTGGGTGAATAGGGAGGGAGCAGGTGATGGGTGAATGGGTGGGTGGGCGGATGGATGGGCAGACCAGCAGTGGGTGGGGGTGGAGGGATGACAGATGGATGGGGGATAGCTGGAGGGCGGGTGGGTGGGTGGGTGGGTGGACAGATTGGTGGATGGATGGGTTACAGATGGATGGACGGATGGGTGGATGGATGGAAGGATGGGTGGGTGGATGGGTGGATGGATGGATGGATGGGTGGGTGGGTGGATGGATGGGTGGATGGGTAGATGGATGGATGGATGGACAGGTGGATGGATGGATGGGTGGATGGACAGGTGGATGGATGGATGGGTGGATGGATGGATGGGTGGATGGATAGGTGGATGGATGGATGGGTGGATGGACAGGTGGATGGGTAGATGGGTGGATTGATAGATGGATGAGTAGATGGATAGATGGGTAGGTGGATGGATGGATGGATGGATAGATGGATAGGTGGATGGATGGATGGATAGATGGATAGTTGGGTGGATGGGTGGATGGGTGGGTAAATGGGTGGGGAGCTGGAGGATGGGTGGACGGGTGGATGGGTGGATGGATGGGTGGAAGGCAGACAGACTGGCAACTTGGCCTTCCACCCTTCAGCTGAGTGGACCTCAGGCTCAAGCTAGCCCATGAGCCAATGGAAGGAGCACGGGGGCACGTGGAGGGCTAGCTCCATGCTCACACAGCCCTGCTCGTCACAGCCTGTGGAGAAGGGGGTGTCTGGCAGCCCTGGAAGCCCTGCCTGGGCCAGTGCAGGCTCCTTCGGGTTCTCCCCAGGCGGGAAGGCGGCCACAGGGAAAGGCTGTGTCCAGCAGGCGCTCAGGTCTGACCCCCTCGGTCCCACCAAGGAACTGACTCTCTGTTGTTTGTTCCCTGCTTTCCTCCCCCTCCCCTCTATCTCCCCCTCACACTTTATCGGTGAGTACAGCAGTCATCAGAGTGTGGCAATTAACTTCCCTACAACGCAGCGTCAGCGTCTGTAGCCGGGACTGAAGCAGACCGCCGGGGCTCCAGAGGTGTCTGCCCTCCCTATCCCTCCCAGTCACCCCCATGCTGATGTCCAGGGAAGAAATGACCTTGCCTGCTTCTTCCTGCTGGTGGCTGCTGCCCTCTGCTGGCAACCTCGGGAGCTGCTCTTGGGGAGGGACAAGGAGTCAGCAAAGGACCACAAACCCCACAGCTTAAGACAACCCAAAAGCATTACCCTGCGGTTCCGTGGGTGGGATGTCCCGCGTGGGCCTCGCTGGGCTAAAGTCAAGATGTCTGCAGGGCTGGAGGTCCAGGGTGCAGCCTGTGCCTAACCTTGCCCAGCTGCGGGGAGGCCCCTCCAGTCGGCAGTGACAGGTGAGCCCTTCTCCAGATGCCATCTCCCTGTCTCTCTACTTATGAAGACTTGGGATCCATGAGACCCACTGCAAAAGGACAAGACAACTCCTGTCCCAAAGCCCTCAAGTCCCCAAGTCTCTTATGTGGTCAAACTAGCGTCCCCGCAGGTCTTAGGTGAGGATGAGGCTGGGGCTCTTCTGTCCACACATACCCCTGCCCCTCCAGGGGGACGCTCCTTTAAAAAAACAAAAACCGGAATACTTTTGAAGGAAGCCGAGGATTGAGGATCCGCAGATCCTGGAGGCAGTCCCTCTGCAGGAAGCAGAGAGACCAAAGCAAACAGAGAAAGAGGGGGGAAAGTCACCCTGGGAGGGGCTGAGGCGGGACGGGGGAACCCGGAAAGGGAGACGCCCACAAGGCGCTCGCTCTCCTGTCTGCCTTTCTCGGAAAGGCACCAGTGAGAGAAAAATACACAAACACAACCCGTCAAAATCGTGATGTGCAGGCCGCGGCGGAGACCTCTGTGGGGCAGATTGTCGGTGGCCTTCAGTGACTCACGAGCCCTGAGCCTTATAAAAGTCTCCCCTGCAGGGGGTCAACACACTGGAACCACCAGTCCCCCCAGGCTAGAAAGAACCTCACCTCAACCTGCACCTTACCTTAAAGATCAACGTAAAGAGGGGTCATGGATTTATGCAATTACAGAAGAAAATAGAAAAAAATGTGGGGGTCTAAGGTTAGACAAAGAGATCCGAAACTTGCTACCACAATCCATAATGGGAAAAAACAATCAGTCAGACCTTATCAAAATAGGGAACTTGCACTGTGGAAAGCCACAGGGAAGACGAAGCCGAGCCACAGAGACGGAGGCCGTGGGCCCCACCGAGGAAGGACTGTGCCAACAGAGGCCCGTCACAACCCCGGCCTGCAGTTTGTTTGAAAATGGCTTTGAGCGCTGCTTAAAGGGCAGCTGGGTTCTTGGAGCCTCTCCCCTCACAAGAGGCTCCTTGTTCACCTGCTGCCTCCCGAGGCTCGCTCTCAGCCTCCTTCCCCCACTCTTCCACGTCTCACTGCCCCTTAATGGTGGACACCCTGGACTGAGCCACAGGCCAGTTTCTCTGCCTCTCTCATGGATGACCTGATTCTGTAGGTGCTTAAAATACCATTTATCTGCAGAGGACTCCCAGAATTAAATCTCTGGCCCAGATCTCCGTCCTCACCCTTGTCCTGGGCAGCCCCTGCCCAACATCTCTACCGAAAGGTCTAATAGGCACCTTGTGCCCCAAACCAGCCCTGGCTCTTCCTCCCAAGCCTGCCCCACCCCACCCCTTCCCTGCTTCAGTCCAGGAAGGCACCAGCCTTCAAACCCAGCAAAGCCTCCTACTTCCTCTTGGTTACACCCCTGCCCCAAGTCAGAAGACTGGCTGCTGCATTCTCAAGCTCCTGCTGTGCCTGCACCCCCTGGTCCAGGCACCCCCATCTTTGGTGGGGGTGATTTTAGAGGTCTTGACTTCTACTGGCTGATCAGAGGGACTCTGTAAAGATGTAATTCAGTCTTCAAAATCCAAAAAGTGGCCAGGCACCATGGCACACACCTGCGGCTCAGGAGGCTGAGGCAGGAGGATGGTGAGTTCAAAGTCAGCCTCAGCAAAAGTGAGGTGCTAAGCAACTCAGTGAGACCCTGTCTCTAAATAAAATACAAAATAGGGCTGGGGATGTGGCTCAGTGGTCAGGGCCGCTGAGTTCAATCCCCAGTACCCCCTTCAAAAAAAAAAAGCCAAAAAGTAGAAACAAATTAAATCTTCCCCTGAGAGAAATTGTGACTGAGCATGAGTTCAGCCTGTAGAAGGAGGTTCCAAGGTGAACCCGGAAACAGCCCGTCCTCTGCCACCAGCAGGCAAATCCACAGACAGAAAGGTCAGCGGTGCTGGGCTGGAGGGGGGAGGGCCCCTGACAGAAAGTGCCAGAGGGGTTCCTGCTGCTGATGGAAATGCTCCAGGATTAGACCACAAGGAACACCTTGAGCCGGACCCTCCCAAGGGGTGAACTCTATGACCTGGATTTTAACCCCACTAAAAAAACGTCAGGGTAACTCAGTTGGCCTCACCCCTCTGTCCACACTCTGCAGGGAAACTGAGTCCTGGGCCAAGGCCCCTCCTCACTGGCACCCTCCTGGCGCGCACCACCCCTCCCCACAAGGCCTGCCTTTTGCTGCTCCTGGGACCTCAGCCCTGTCCCCCTTGGCCCGCGTGCCACAGGGAGACCCCCTCTGCCCGCTGGCCACCGGCCCCGGTGGCCTCAGCCGTTCTCTCCTGTTATATTGGGAATGGACACCTAGTATGGGCATGTTTCCGGGGTCTGCTGCGCACGCTGGCACCTGGAATGGGTGCTCAGAGCAGGGCGAGGAGTGTCCCCACCACCGACGACACCTGTGGTTGGCTTGTCGCTGGGATGAGGACACTGTACCTCCTCTCTTGTCATTTCTAACCACAGCCACCCCATGTGCAAACACCGCCCGATGGCCTCCCTGGTCCTCAGCTGACCTGGTGATAGGACAAACCTTTCCCCAACCCGACAGAAGGCCTCAAGGGATGATCTCGTGAGTAGCCCTAACTTTAAAAATCAGATATTCACACCTTCAAACCAAAGAAACCTCTCGTAGTGTTCTTTGGGTTTTTTCCTCCCCCACACAGAAGATGTCCCCCGGATCCCTACAGAACGCACTTCAATGCTTGGTGAATGTTGGTGTAGAATGGTAACGTGACTGACGTGACGTGGCCTAGCAACCGTACACCCGAGGGCTCGCGGTTGCTGTCCCAGCACACGGCAGGGCTGCGCCGCGCTTTGCAAATCCACCAACTCCCAGACTTGCCCGCGCAGGCTCTCAGGGACCCACAGCGACCCGCAAGGCGCAGGCGCAGAGGCCGCCGCCAGCCCCGGTGGAAACGGCTTCGGCGCGCGCCACACGCATGCGCAAAGCCTAGAGCTCTCGCGAGAAGTTGAGCCGGAAGACTACGGTGACTTCCGGGTTCGGATCGGAAACCAGAGTGCCGGCGGCTTGGTGGGCGCGGGGAGTGCAGGCTGCTCGCCGGCGCCGCCATGGACCCCTTCCGGGTGCTGCTGCACTCGGTGTCGGCCGACCTGTCCAGCGGCGAGCTGACCGAGCTCAAGTTCCTGTGCCAGGGGCTAGTGGGCAAGAGGAAGCTGGAGCGCGTGCAGCGCGGCCACGAGCTCTTCGAGGTGCTGCTGGAGCAGAAGGACCTGGAGGCCGAGCACACCGGGCTGCTGCGCGACCTGCTGGCCTCGCTGCGGCGCCACGACCTGCTGCAGCGCCTGGACGACTTCGAGGCGGGGGCGGCGGCGGGGGCCGCGCAGGAGGAGGCAGGTGAGTGCGGGGGTCCCGCCGCGGGCGCAGGGCCGGTTCGCCCCTGAGAGGACTCCAAGTCTCTTGGCTCCTGCTCTTTGCCGGGTGTTCTGGGAACCACTCTGGGGCACGGGTGGCAGATGGGCAAACCCAAACCCAGAGAAGTCAGCCCACCCGAGGTTGCAGGGCCTAGATGCCCACCTCGGCCTGCAGTGTTTTCCCCACCCCACTTTTTCCAGGTGAATTAGAAAACTCACTGAAGAAAAAGGACCGTGAGTGACCGGGTGGGGTAGAGTGGAGAAAAGGGCAGAGGTCAGATAGCCTGCTGCATCCGGTCGTCCGCCTCCGGAATCGTGCCCCACTGACCCCCTTCCTGGCCGTCAGAGACCAACACCACCCCTTGGTAGCTCTGACCCAGTGTTCCCACGTGCCACCGACGGCACACTTGACTTGTTCCTTTGTGAGTTAGATACTCTTATTTCCTATCTTTCTTGCCGTCTTTCAGAGGAGAGGACAGTGGCTCACAAGTGTAAGTTCTTGCCCAAATGCACAGCTGACAGCAGACCTGGGATCCACCTAAGGCCATCTGGCCTGGGGTGGGAGGTGCAGGCTGAGCACCCTCATCGGAAGTCTGAAACTGGAAGTGCTGTGAGATCCAAAATGTTTTGAGAAGCCACAAATGGAAATTTTCATGCACAAAATTATTTACAATGTTGTATAGAGTTACCTTCAGGTTTACATACGAAGCATAGATATGAAAGTAAGAATTTCATGTGTGTACTTGGGTCTTCCCCAAGATACCTCATGACACTTATGCAGGTACTCAGAAATCAGATAAGGTTTTTGCCCTTCACTGCCTTTTCGAAGGAGTCCACTCTGAGCAGCCCCTCTCCATTCTCCCCTTTGGCTTGCTGGGGTGCCAGGAGTAAGAGACCAGTTATACCTAGGGTCCCTCAGCCCCTGGGCCTGGGAGTTTAGTGCTTCAGGGACACCCTGCAGACTACAGGCTGTGGCCTGGAATCAACGGATCAGTCACTCTGCCGGACAGTGCGTAAACAGGTGACACGGTGGATGCGCTGCGCTGTCGAGGGCTGTCGGTTAGAATTTCATACACACACAGTGTTGGACAAACAGAAATGATCAGAAAGATGATGTTTTCAAGGATATTTAGCAATCAATGAGGAAAGTGTTGATAAAGGACAGCCTCAAAAATAGACTCAGTACCTTTTTAGATGACACGTGTATGTCTGTGTTTGATATTAACTGTAGTCTTGTAAATACTGTGTTGGAGGAAACATACCAGGTTGACAGCAGTTCAGGGTGGGTTGATGCTGTGTGTGGTGCCACTTTTTCCTACAAAAGGCAGTTTAACATCATGGTCTCTGGCGCAGGGTGACAGGGTTTTGAACCGCAGCTCAGTCAGTTTCTAGCTGTGTGACATCAAGATATTCACTTAACGTCCCTGTGCCTTAGTTCCTCGTCTTTTCAAATGATCACAGCAACAAGTGCTTTCAGGGGGCTGGAGGAGTGGGCTCACCTGCTGACAGCGAGAGCAGCTGTCTGGTACCCTCCCGCACTGCCTTGTCCTGCCTGCTCCCCTACCCACACACTCCTGAAGCTGCTTATTGGGCTCATAGTGCTCTGCTTCCTGATCTCAGTAGTGGCTTTGCAGCAGGGACCAAAGTCTAGTGGTTAGTTGGTGCAGCTTCCAAAATAAGAACTAGGGTGTGCACTGTTGTCCCGGGACTGCCATGACAAATTTCACAAACTTGGAGGGTTAAACCGTAGGAATCTATTATCATTTAATCTGGAGGCCAGAAATCTGCAAAGGTCAGGTGTCGGCAGGGGTCACGTCCCTCTGTGGCTCTACGGACCAGTCCCTCCTTGCCTCTTCCAGCTTTGGGTGATTCCCAGCATCTTTGATCTGTGGCTGGGTCCCTCCAGCTCTGCCTGCATGGTCACTGGATGTAGGGCCCACCCAGATAATCCAGGTGAACTGCTCTCAAGATGTTCCCCTACATCTGCAAGGATCTTTTTTCCAAATAACATTTTCAGTTCCGGGGACTTGAGTAGACATAGCTTCAGGAGATTGCCCTTCGACTCGCTGCAGATCAGGACTGGGAACAGCCCCGCTCTCTTCTCAGTTCCCCACGCCTCTCAGTTCCCCTGTCCTGAGCAGCAGCTCACGGAGTCCCACGGGGGCTACCTGGGGAATTGAGGTTAATCTCAGGCTCTCTGTGACAGTCCCTGAGCTTCTCGGTGGCTTTCACAACTCCGTGCAGGTCTTATGTGTAGGTGATCTGCATGGTCAGCACTCGGGTCAGCCCGGAGAATCCTGTGGGGGTCAGGGGTGCTCCCCAAACCTCCAGTAAGTCTTGTTCTTTCCTCCCAGATCTGCACGCAGCCTTCAGCATCATATGTGATAACGTGGGGAAAGACTGGAGGAGACTGGCTCGTCACCTTGGAGTTTCTGACGCCAAGATCGATGGAATTGAGGAGCGATACCCCCGCAACCTGGCAGAGCGGGTGCGGGAGTCGCTGAGAGTGTGGAAGAGCAGCGAGCGGGAGAAGGCCACAGTGGCCGGCTTGGTCGAGGCGCTCAGGGCCTGTCGGATGAACCTGGTGGCCGACCTCGTGGAGGAGGAGCAGCTGGCCCGGCGGCTCCAAAACGGGAGTGATGCTGTGTCCCCAATGCAGTGGGACTCAGACACACACACCTCAGAAGCTCCTTGATGGGGCTGCCGTTCTCCTTGGGGACCACGGGACTTGATTCTCTGTACCGTGCCCAGCACTGGGCAGTCCCGTCAGGAGCCAGGCAGAGGGCCCCCCCTCAGAGCCATGCTCCAGCTTCACAGTTAAAGCTGCGTTTCCGAGCCCTTCCTCTGCCAGGCGGGGCCTGGAATGCGGGTGAGGGAGGGGGCTTCTGTCATCTTCACTCAGTGAATGCCAACCAGAGACTCGCAGCTTTGGGCACCAAGGCACTCGTTCAGATTGCAGTCCTACCTGTTATTCTTCAGGTGAGGAAAGGGGCTGGAGGGAGGTCAGAAGCGGCACAGCGCATCCGGTTCCGCAGAACGGCCTTCTAACCAGCGTGTCCCACTGTGACTCCACCGTGGACAAAGGCACATTTTGTCCCATTCTTTGAGGCGACAGGGTAGACCTGGACACCAGCACGAGGTGCTGTCCTGGTCCAGGAGTCAGGACACCTGGCTGACTCACAGAGCGGCAGGCGACAGCAGGGCTGTGAGGGTGACCGCAGTGACGCCTGTGGAGTGCTCCCAGGAACTGGTGCACAGCCGAGCTCCGCAATCAGTTCTCGTGAGGAGCCGGTTCCCGGGTCGCAGGTGGCTGTTCTGTGTCAGAATTACCATCCAGGCGGTCATTGGCCTAGCAAGGGGCAGGACCCTGGACTTCCAAAGCCCTCCACTGAAGCCAGTGCCTTTACCTGGAGCCCTCCAGGCGCCTCTGGAAACCAGATGGGTCCAGAGCCTTTTTCCTGAAGAGGTCACGTCACAGAGCATCCCCACTCCTGCCGATGACTTTCTCACGTCACGTATTCTGAGGGGTTCGGTCCAGCGGGTGTCAGCAGCTCGTCCTGCGCTCTCCCTGTGGAAATGGCGGCAGGGTTATCTAATAGCTCGCTCACCACTAGCCGGAGTATTGATCTAAGCAAAGGGTGATCTGCAGAAGGCAGGTCTGCCACCTGTGGGACCTGCCTGCGCCTGCCAGGCACTGTTATGGTTCTGGAACGTTCCCCAGGAGCTCACGCGTTGAAGACTGAGCGGTGTCCAGGAGTGGTGCTTTTACCAGGAATGGGTCGGCCAGGCGTGTGGCGCAGGCCTGTCATCCCAGGGACTTGGGCGGCGGAGGCAGGGTTGGAAGCTTGAGACCAGCCTCAGCAACTGAGCAAGGCTCGAAGCAACCTAGGAAGACCCTGTCCTGAACTAAAAGGGTAGGGATGCCGCTTGGTGGTTAAGAACCCCGAGTTTGAGACCCAGTACCAAAAAAGAAAAGTGGTATGGATCATGTGGCTTTAACCTCATCAGTGGATTCATCCGTTTAGCGTGTCTAATGGTTTAGGTGTGAAGTGTGCCCCCCAAGCTCCTGCGTGAGACAATGCAAGGAAGTTCAGAGGTGAGATAGCTGGGTTACGTGAGTTTTAACCTAATCAGTGTGTTGATCCCCCGATAGGGGTTGACTGAGTGGTGACTGTGAGCAGGTCGGGTGTGACAGGACAGGTGGGTCCCTCAAGGTGGGCTTCTGTTTGGTCCTTGGTGAGAGAAGTTTGTCTCTGCTTCCTGACTGTCCTCTCCTGGGCTGCCTTCCTCCACCACACCCTTCCACCATGATGTCCTGCCTCACCTTCGCCCAAAGCAGTGGAGTCCGCTGTCTGTGGACTGAGACCTCCTAACCGTGAGTGCCAAATAAACTTTTCTTCCTCTAAAATCGTTCTCGTCAGGTCTTTTGGTCGCAGGGCAAAAAAGCTTGACTGAAACACGTTGGTACCAAGAAATGGGTTGTTGCTGTGATTAATTGACCATGTGGTTCAGAAGCTTTGGAGCTTTTTGGAATTTGTGGGAGCAATTTGAAAAGTTTAGAGATGCAAGCTAGAAAAGTTTTAGATTGTTGTAAGCCAGGCTCAATATGTGATTCTGGTGGGAGCTCAGCAAACCAGATGCCAAGAGGCTGCAGACAGTGAGCCTGCTCAGGAGGCCTCAGAGCAGGAGGAGGACTCTGGGAAATGGGTCTAGAGACCGTTCATAGGACGCCCTGGCTAGGAAAACATCAGCATGTGTTCCATGTCCTGAGACTTGGTGAGGTTGAATTCAATCTGGCAGAAGGAATCTCTAGGCAGCATAGCTTTCGTGTAGAGGCGTGGGTATTGCTGGCAGCTTCTAGCCAAGTTTATTGTGAGAATCGGGAACCGAAAGCAAAAAGATTTAAAAAACTTGCAGTTTGGCCAGAAAACTGAGTAAAACCAAGGTCAAGGAAGGTGTGGTTGTTGAACACAATACAGCCGCTAAACACTAAATATTTTACCTAGAAATACTAGGAAAGATGGTTCGAGGGTATCTTAGGAACTGGCAAGATATCACCCATCTGAGGCTCAAGGGTGTAAAAATAAAAATTCCTTTGTTTTGAGACCGATGGGACACCCTGCTTGTACAGGGGCCCTGGGAAGTTTTTCAGCATGCTCAGCCACCCAGCACTCAGGCTGCTGCAGCCAGGATCCCTGGAGGCTCGGCTGCTGCTCGAGGTGGTGGCAGACCCTGGTGTCAGCACGTGGTGCTGGTTCTGCAGGAGTGCAGGATGCTGGCGTTGGGGGTCCCGCAGGCTCCTGCTGAGCTTGCACGTGGGAGGCCAGGCAAGGTGCTGCAGGTCAGAGCCCTGTCACTGCGCAGAGGACAAGAGGGAGGCTGTGGAAGTGAAGCCAGTGCTGCAGTGAGGACCCCAAGGTAGGCCAGGAGTGGGGACTGTCTGCTGAGAAAAGCCGCAGGCAGTGGGTAGAGGCAGCCCAGCAGAGTCCCCACAGGCTGTGCCTGATAAGGCCAGGAGCAGTGCCGCACCAGCCCTGTGGAGCCCACATCCTGCCGCCACATGCCTGGGTGCCAGGCGTGGACTGCAGGGTTCCGTCTTGGCACAGCTGGGCTTCAGGCTCGCTTGGTCCCGATCTCTCTGCATCCTCTCTTTTCTTTGGACTGGCCTGTCGGCTCTGTGCCGTTGTGTATTGGGAGCATTTCACGCTCTTTGATTTTTTTTACAGGCTCACAGCCAAAAGTCTGCCTTGAATCTCAGAGATGACCTGGACTCTTCAGCAATGCTGAAAGTATTAGGAGTGGGGATTCACCAGGTGTCGGGGTGCACACCTACCATCCCAGCAGCTTGAGAGGCTGAGGCAGGAGGAGCACAAGTTCGAGGCCAACCTCAGCAATTTAGGGAGGCCTTAAGCAGTTTAATGAGACCCTGTCTTACAAAAAAAAAAATCAAAAAGGGCTGGGGATGTGGCCTAGTGCTGAAGTGCCCTGGATTAATCCCTGGTCCTAAAAAGGAAAAATAAAGCAAAAAGACCTCATGGGAGTAGACTGATTGCATTGTGAGGTGAGCATGCCCTGTTTTTTCAGGGCAGGGAGAGTGTTACAGTCTGAACCTGGGCTGTTCCCAGATGCTTAGGTGTTGAGAGCTTGGTCCCGGGGCAGCAGTGTTCAGAGGTAGGCTCTTGGGAAGTGACTGGATCCGCGGGCTCTGACCCCATGGGTGGAATACTCTGTGTGATAGATTACGGGGAGGAATGGAAACTGTAGGTGGGTGGAAGAAGTAGGTCCCTGGAGGGTGTACTGAGGACTGAGTTTTTTGGTATTTTCTTTTATTTCTTTATTGCACTAGGAATTGGACCGGGGGTACTCTACCACTGAGCTACATCCCAGACCTTTTTATTTTTTGAGACAGGGTCTCACTAAGTTGCTTAGGGCCTCACTAGGTTGCTAAGGCTGACCTCAAACTTGGAATCCTCCTGCCTCAGCTCCCAAGTCACCAGTACGACGGGCATGCGCCCTGTGCCTGGCCTCGGAGACGGTGTCCGTCCCTGGCCCCTTGCTCCCTCCTGCCTCCCTCCCGCCTCCCTCCCTTCCTCTCCTCCCAGCTGCCCGGAGCTGAGCAGCTGTCCCCCACTGTGCCCTCTCGCCATGGTGTTCCCGCAAGTGGCAGGTGTTTGGGTCATCATGGTAAAAAGCTGACAGACACAGGTGGTGCACCCTGCGGTCCAGCAGTCAGTGAGACCCTGTCTCCGGACTGAAAGGTGGGAGCACCCTGGGCACAGTGCAAAAAATTTTAAAAAGCTGAGTGGCCATTCTTTGTCCCAGTTGTCCATGTATGACCTTGGGGAAGCCACGTGTGCCATGCTGTGCCACCTTGACTTTGGAGAGCTGAGATCTCGGCCAAGGTCCTGCCCCACTAAGCTCTGGGCTCCTGCCCTTGCCCTCCGGGCCTCCCAGGATGCGGTTAGCCCAGGGGAGGAGCAGGACTTTGGAGCAGATCCGGGCTCCCTCCTGGCCTTTGGTGACCGGTCTGGTGACTTGACTCCACCCAGGATGAGGCGTAAGGTGAGTCCCCACACTCAAGTCCTCTGCTGGGCCACGCTGCTGTCCACACTCCCAGGACGGGAGGCGATGAGCCAGCTCCTGGCAGCAGAGCAGGGAGCTTGGTGACATGGGGTGGGCTTGCAGAAGACACTGCCCAGAAGGTGGGACTTGGAGCCAGATGGGAGCTTCCCCTCGTGCAGCCACCACCATTGGGTGCTGCAGACACAAGGCTGCACTGAAGGTAGCCCGGGCACAAGTCCCGGGGAGGGCGAGTGTTAGGCCCATGTGGCTCAGTGGCAGAGGCTGGCCTGCCTGCCGGAGGCCAAGGGTTCCTCTCCAGAACGGCCAGGGAAGCCTGGGAGAGTGTTGACGGCGGTGACGCTGTCTGCTGTGTTTTCATTCTCTAGAAACTGCTCCACAGGTGGAGAAATTGGTGACACCTGGCCGGTGTGGGACGGGAGCCGTGGAGCGCATGGCCTGTGGTCTGGCCTGGTTCAGGTCCAGGCTCTGCCCTCGGGGGTCCTAAAGGGCCGGCACTAAATAGCAGTTGCTTCCCACAATCTGTACGCCTCATTTCTCAGACACCTTGAAAATGAGGGGTTGGGGGGGCTGGGTTGTGGCTCAGCAGTGGCACTTGTCTTGCTCGTATGAGGCGCTGGGTTCCATCCTCAGTGCCACATAAAGATAATAGAATAAAGGTACTGTGTCCATCTACAACTAAAAATTAAAAAAAAAAAAAATGAGCAGCGGGGCCTCCCCTGACCCCCGTGGTCAGCCTGGGCAGCTCTGCCTGGTTCTTCAGCCCGCGTCCCCCTCCGTCTGCACCAGCCTCTGACCCACCAGCCACCGTGGCTCTTGTGATTACTTTGAGTATCTGAGTGGCCCGGGATCCTCCCCCGATTTCCACATCCACGACTTTACCCTGCCCCGTCAGCGCCATGCTCACAGGTCCTGGGGACTGGAGCCTGGGCATCGCTGGGGGCCACCAGGCCTCCAACTCTGCCCCTCCCCCCCAGTGCCCAGCCTATCCCCGACCCCGACCTCACCTGCTGCCACACAGGCCTTCCTCTCCTTGGGCTCACTCGCTTCCCCCTTGGCAGCAGGGACCCTGGACCTGTCCTCATGGTGGCCTTCCCACCTCTCCTGTCCCCACCACCACCCTGTTCCCAGCAGGGCCTCACCCCTACTCCACCGTCTTGGGGAGGGGCCTCCTAACCCTTCTCCAGTCTCTGCTGCCCTCCTCGATTCCCGCTCGTCCCCTCTGGTGGCCAGGCCGCAGACCCCTGCCTCGTTCCTGGAAGCCTCCAGAAGCCCCCGGCTTCCCGTGCACATTCTAGCTTCATGTTCCTCTTTCCACGGTCACTGCCGAGCCATCCGGCTGGCCACTTTCTGACCACATAGTCCCTCTGTGGACCGAGTTTGGAACCAGATGGTAACCGTGACTAGGGTGGCATGTGCATGTGCCACATGGCCAGCCACCCTGCAGCTGCTGACGCGGAGCAGGGCCCGTCCACCGGAGCCTGCGGTGAAGAGCCATTTCACCTGGGAAGCCTTCCTTCTGGAGTCGCGCACTCCGTGGAGACCCTGTGAGGGGTCGCAGGTGCCCGCCAGAGGAATCACCACCAGCAACAAGGCCAGGCCAGGGAGGAGTGGAGCCCTCACCAAGCAGAAAGCCAAGTGACGGGGTAGCAGTGTGTGTGTGTGGCCGCGTGAGCCCCCTGGACTCCAGGCCTGCCGGTGGCACACAGTGGGTACGAGGCTTCGATTCTGTCTCACCAAAATCAGGTCGTGAGCTGGCACAGGGGCACGCTCCCGTGACCCCAGCGCCTCAGGAGGCTGAGCAGCAGGTGGAGCGCTTGAGGCCAGCCGGGCAGCTGAGGGAGACCCCAGTCAGTTAAAATAAAAAGGCACACGGTTAGCAGGCCCGAGGCCCTGGTGCCACCCTCTGCACCACAGAGAAGAAGTACAGCACTAGTGGGGATAGCCGCGTGGGGACTCGAGTGTGCAGAGCTGGGGGCCCATGCGGAGAGCAGGAGGGTGCAGCACCCTGTGCTCAGTCATGTCAGCTGACACCTTCCACAGGCTCCCCCTGCTGCTGGGTGGCCTTGTTGGTGACCGATGGTTGGCGAGGGCTGGAAGCCTACACCTCCTGGTCTGTCTGCGGTAGTGAGGTGTCATCATTAACAAGCACCTGGTCGTCACCGGAAGCTGGGACCCTGCTGCTCCTTCCAAAGGGCTTCTGGCTGGAGGAGCCGGGCCGCCCGGCCCCCTGTGCTCATCCCTGCAGCAGGCTCCTTGCCCCTGCTGCTCCCTGTCCCAAGATGCCGCTGTGGCGCCAGCCTTGCCTGCCCGGCCCAGCTTGAGGCCCTGGGGCCGTGCCCAGCGCTGCAGCAGCCCAGGGAAGGCGCTCTGAGTGAGTGAGGTTCGGCTGGCCGTAAAAAGGTCCTCAGGCGCCGGGGCTGAGCTCCCTTCAGGCAGGAAGAGCCAACAGTGCCCAGCTTTCACTCCTGGCCAGGAGGGCCGGCCCGAGCACATCCCACAGTGTCTTGGTCCCCAGGGACCACAGTGGCCCAGGCCCAGGATTTGCCCTCCACGCTGCCCAGCCCCCGTGAGGCACAGCCAGACAACCCCAGGATCCCACCTTCTAGGTGGCCGTAGCCCCTGGGAGCCACACCCAGGCAGGGGGGCTGCTGCGTGCCCCGCCTCTCATTCATTCCATAGGTGAACTCTTGGCAGAGGGCGCGTGGCCACCTTGCACTGGGCCCCTGCTCCAGCGCCACATTTCCTCGCCTCTCAGCCTCCTCCTCCTCCAGGGTTGCTGTGGAGAGGCCCGGGGTGACCAGCCATGGTGCAGGCCACACATGTCGTCTGAGGGCTGCAGGTTTAAAACAACCAACCTTCCGCCAGCCGGGTGTGACGTTCTAGGGGCCCAGCTTCACCCCCGGGTCTTGGGAGGCGTCCGATGACTGGGAACCCACTGCCCTCCCTGAGGAGCCGTGACCAGCTGGCCATGAGTCTGGGGCTTCATAGGGCAGTGGACAGGCCCCCCGTCACCTGGCCCCAGCAATATCCGCAGTTCGGACCACACACCGCAGGCTGTGGCAACGCAGACCATGGTAGACTCACCTCCGCACAGATTGGAATTTGTGTAGCCAAAAACCTAGATGGCGGCAGGGGAACCCGGGGAGCGGGAAGGGTCTCACGGAAGGTGAGCTGGGCTCCGGAGCCTACTGCATGGGCGGGTCCAGCTCAGCCATGCACCTGGGACAGGTGAACTCCAGGACTCACCTGGGGAGGTGCCAGAGAGGACAAGAGAACCTGGGGCCCTTTAGCCCAATGACACGGGGGCAGGGGAGGGACACGGGGCTTTGGGCCAGGAGGCGGCTCTGGTGGGCACAGTGCTCGGCCACAGGTGCTTTGCCCTTTGTCCCTGCAGGCCCCGTGGGGGTGAGCGGGCGCTGGGCCTGGGTGGAGCCCCCTGCTGGGCCGCCCATGTGTTCCTACCGTGTCAGCAGTGGGGCTCGACTGGTAAGGTGTGTTTCCATTAGGTCAGTCCCCATGTGGGGAAAGAGCCTCCTCACCTCCCTGCCGCCAGAGTAGGCTCCAGACGCGCACCAGGTACCATGGGAAAAGGAGAAGGCCAGGACCTGGGAGGAGGAGGCCGTGAAGAACCCGATTCCCGAGACTGCTAAGGTTGAGAGGCGGCTGCAGCGGAGCCCTTGCTCTGCACAGCCGAGGCCCTGGGTTCCAGCCCCGGTGCCAAAACCAGAAGGTCACTTGTCAAAATTCCTAAGATTAAATTTAAAAGGAAGACGGCCACCCGTGGAAGGCTTGTTTTTGACCACAGACTTTTCGTTGACAGATGGGGGCAGGAGATCTCAACAAGTGCTCACTGAGCACCTACTAAGTGCCAGGGCTGGAGGTCCTCCAGGGCCACAGGACCTTGTCCCCGTCTCCATGCTGTCTCTGTCCCCAGGAGAGAGAGACATCACTCTATCCACACAGGCAGATGTGCGGGCAGCCGTGGAGGGAAGGTGCCCAGGGCTATGGGGAGACCTGGCCAAGGCTGGGCAGTCTGGGGAGGGGCAGGGTGGCGCTGGCGCAGCAGGCAGAGGCTGGAGGGCCCCTCCATCGGCTTCGGGAGCCCTCCTCCTCCAGGGCTGAGGCAGCCCCCCCACGGGCACCTTCTTCCCGCGGGGCGGATGCGCCACCCTGCTTGTGGCCTCTTGTAGCTGGAGTGGCCCAGCCAGAGCCCCAGGCAGGGCTTGAAGTCGTGGTCAGACAAGCTCTTGTCACGGGCTGGCAGCAGAGATGCCCCCTGCCCAGGGCAGCACAGCAGAGGTCTCGAGGTGGCATTTGGTGGCCAGCCTCTGGGGCCAGCCTCAGTGCTTATCCTGAGAGCCGCTGGAACCAGGGCAGGCCTCCTGCCTCCTTCCCCAGGGGGCAGCTGCCGGGCACGGGGTCAGGTGGGGCTGCGGAGGCCGCGGTGGGCGTGCGAGTCGAGGTTCCTGTGCTGCCGGCTGGGCTGAGGAGCGGGGGGCCTGGGGCCTGGGGGAGGCGAGGAGTGGCCGGGTGTGATGGTGGGGAGGCTTGGAGTGGGGCCTCATGGCGGAAGGTGGCAGGACCCAGCCCCCTCCCCGGCCTGCAAATGACCCAGGGGACTGCAGCCGGGGCGTCTCGGCCTGCTTTGCTCTTCCTTTCCTCCAGGTCGCCTGTTCTGATCCGATCTGGCCCACGCCCTCTAGCGAGGGCGCTCCCCACCCGGGGCAGTGGCAGCCTTCCTGTGGGGACAGGCCCCGGCCCATCCCTCCTGCGGAGCCACCTGCACTGGCCGCTGCGCAGACCCCGGTCACTGCGGCCTCTGTGCCAGGGCTGAGGACAGGTGCCCAGGTTCTGGGTGTAGCTGCCCTGGTTAAAGCTCCGCTCGTGCTTCCCACGGTGACCGTTCTGCTCGGCTCTGGGAGCAGTGGCCAGACCTGATTTGTTGGACCCCTGGGTCGGGCCTCTGGCCCAGGACTCCGTGACAGAGGCAGGTGAGGACAGAGCCTGGGGCTGCGGCCGGTTCCTGACGCCCCGCGTGTGCAAAGGCTCTGGCTCCTGTGGGAGGTGCTTGGTGGGTGAGGAGGTGCAGGTAGGGTGCGGAGGGTTTCCCCAGTGCGGGAGGGACTGGAAGAGGCCAGCGGGCAGGGGCCAGGCCTGTGAGGACATGAGGACCAGGGCCCAAGGCAACGAGTGGGGCAGTGGTGACTGGTCCTGCCTGCGCCCTCCCCGCCCCCCAGCACACGCACCCGGGTTGCCAACGTGGAAAGCCTTCTGGAAATATGCTCAGAGATCCCCAGTCCCTCCTCCAGAGTGATTCACTCCTGGGTGGCGCCAGGACCGGTCACCCACCACCCTGGGCAGAGGGCCATTTCCACGCCTCTGCTGAGCATGAGAACTAGTTGTCCTGTGTGGCCTCCCACCACCTGCTCAGGCCTCTTCCTCCTCCTCAGGTGAGGAGAGGTGCCCATCACGCCTAGGCCACAGGGTGGTCTCCTCCTCAGCAGGGCACGGGTGTGGCTCCAGCAGCCACTCCAGGAAGTGCCGAGTGTCCGAGTGAGCCCTGGGCTTCAGCCTGCCTCCTGCGGGGGCCCTGGCGTGGGCAGTAGAGCCGTGGGAGCCGCGGGTTGGAGCCCATCTGTCTCCTCAGTCTGCTGGGCGCTGCCCTCGACTTGTGAATCCGCATGATTCCCAGTCCCCACGCGGTCTCACACACAGCCCGCAGCTCCTTGGGGGGCGTGTGCCCCTCTGTGTTCCTGGCAGGCCTGCGGCCTTCACCGGGCTTCCCTGCCCACCAGAGGGGTGGCACTCTGCTGGCCGTGCTGGTCCCGCCCCCATTTCCTAGGGTGAAGCAGGGGTGCGCCTGCCCCCGCGTCCTGCTGCCTGGGCACGGAGCGAGGGCAGAGCCGGGCAGAGAGAGGAGCCGGGTGGCGGCTGGCGGTCCTGGTCTGTGCGTGGTCATGGAGGGTGGCGGGTGAGGGGCGGGGGGGGGGGGGTAAACAAAACTTGGCTCCCAGGCCTGAAGTCCAGGTCTGGAGGGAGAGACCAGGAAAATCATCACCAGCCACAGGACAGTCCCGAGAGCTGCAGGGGTCTGTCCAGTCTCAGGTGGGGCCCTGACCCCGGGGCCCATTCCATCTCCAGGACACCAAACTGCCTTTTAGTAGAGGACCACTGAGTGGGGTTTCACGGTGGGAGCAGGAGTTCTCCAGCTGGTTCAGTGCAGGGAGCCGCGAGCGTGGAGGCCGGGGCGGCCAGCGGGAAGGGCTCCAGGCAGGTCCAGGAGAAGGTTTGGAGCTGGAGGTGGGAGGGGTCTGGATCCCATCTTTTAGACAAAGAGGAGCCATAAAGACATTTTAAGCGGCCAAGGACGGTCGGGTGTGCCCATGCTGAGGGTCCAGTGCGTGTGTTCCTTCTTCAGAAAACGAGCCACCAAGCAGCAGCTTCCCGGGGCTGCGCTCCCCTCCCGCCCAGCCTGGACTCTGGTGTCCTGGGAGCCCGTTCCCTGGCTGCAGCGGCAGGACCTGGCCCGGTCCTTCAGGAGGCTGTTGCCCCGCCCGATGGACACAGCAATGGAGGCCTGCGGGGGTCGGCGGTGGGCACGGAGCCACTGTGGGTCACTGCACCCTCAGCCAGGCCCCTGGCCTTGGGTTCCCAGACAGGCCCAGAGGGGGCGCAGCCGGGGAGGGTCACGGTCCACCCAGGCCATGGTCCTGGCAGCTGCCGTCCCCTCCTGAGGGCCACCCTGGCGCCCACAGCGGGGAGCAGCCTGAAAGCTGGCCGCCGTGACCGTGTCCAAGGGCATCAGCTCCGGGCGCCAGAGGTCAGCCTGCCTGCGGCCCCGCGGCAGCCCAGGCCGTCAGGGCGCGGCCGGGACACCACACTGGTGCCTGCACCCGTCCACCTGGGGAGACCTCCCCTTGCACCATGGCCGGCCTCACTCCTTCCCCCAGCGAGTGCCGGGCACCGTCCGCACCCACACGGAGCAGGGAGCGGCGTCCCCTCCCAAGAGGGAAGAGCGTGCGGCTTTGTGAGCAGTGGGGACGAAGGACGCCTGCAGGTGTCACCGACGTGGGGACCCTGGCGCGCCCCAGCTGAGCACCGGCTGTGCACAGACTCATCCAGGCCAGGGGGCTGGGCCGAGACGCCTGGATCCCGTTACCACCACCCCCGGCCTTCAGCCCCTCACAGGCCTGCGCCCCACCGTCCTGTAGGCAGGGCCCTGCCCCGCCCTCCGGCCCCCTGAGCTTTCCTGGTGGCCTGGCCCTGCATCTTTTCCCAGCCTTCTGGCCTCCCAGGGCCTGCCTGGCTCGGGCCGTCCCAGTCTGTCTCTGGACCACCTTGCTTCCTCCTGGGCTCCTGCTGGGGCTCTCCCTCCCAGACCCCCGCCTTCCAGGGAGCAGAGAGCTCCTACCAGTGACCCCTGAGCTGGCCCCAACCCGGGCAAGCTGCCCCTGTGCTTCCCAAACCCTGTGAGTGGACAGTCAAGGGGCCACTTTGGGCTGGACCAGGCCCCGCCCAGGCCTTCACTCACGTACTCTCTTACTTAATCTTATTAATTTAACTCAGGTTTCGTGGGGCAAGGACCCAAGTGTCACCCACGCTGCCCAGTGCCGTACCACTGAGCTCCACCCCGGCCCCAAGTTAGGTCAGAAAAGTAACTAAGTGCTCCATCCCACAGGGAAGGTGGTCTGGGGCAGAGACACCGGTGACCTGTCCCTGTCCAAGGCTTCCTGCTCCACGCCAGGTCCCCAGGGCTAAGTGGAGCAGACGGCCCCCCAGATTCAAGGGGTGTTCCCAACTTCCCTTCGCAGTGTGGTGTGGCCATTTGACCGAGTTCTAAGTGAGCTGAACTGGTGGTGTGTGGAGCTTCCCAGAAGTGCCCTTAAAGAGAGGGGCTATGGCCTTCCAAATCCCCTTCTTCCCTTCTGCTGGAATGCAAGCATGAAAGCTGGAGCACAGGCAGCACTGTTGGATAAGGAGGAGGTGAACCAACGAGAAGGAGCCTGGCTCCCTAAGGACCACAGAGCCGCCCTCGAAGGCCACAGCAGGACTGAGCTGTGCAGGAGAAGTGCAGTTCTTTTATTGAAGACACTGCCTCTTGCAGATTTCAGACGCTTGCCACAAAGTCTCCCCTGCAGTGAATGTAAAAATAACGATGGCTGTCATGAAAAAGTGGCGTTCTGGAGCCCTCAGGGGCAGCTTCCTCGTCAGAGGACAGAGCAGGTCATCCACCCAGGTGGATTTCCTCAGTTTGTTCTGAGGGACCAGCGGGGAACGGAAAGCAAAGATGTCCTCACCGTGTGGCTCAAGGTGACAGCGCCAAGCTGCTCACCGCACTGCGGCACTGCGCCTGGCGTCCCCGCTCCCAGGCCCTGCTGCCCGCCTCTACCTCCGGCCCCAGCCACCAGTCTCCCTGGGGCAGTAACGAGCATCCAGCGTCCACCAGCAGATGGTGTTTGTCACCGCGCTCAGCCTCTGGGACTCCGTGACCGGCTTCTCTCTCTGCTCCTCGGCATCTCGCAGCCTCCCTATGGGCCCTCGCCCTGGCCGAGCGCCACGGTCAGCTGGCCGGGGGACCGGGCGTGTGAGCGCCTCAGCTGCCCGCCGTCCTCCTCCCTGTGAAGTGGGGGCACGAGCGCCTTCCTCCAGGGAGTCCACTGCGTCCTGAGCTTCACAGCCACCAAGCCCCTGGGACACCTCGGCCTGACTTCCTTGTGGACTGGCCACCCGTGGATTCACCTTCTGTTTCCACACCCCAGCAAGGAGCTGGGCCCAGCTGGGCTCAGGAAACCGATCGCGGGAGGTGACGGGGTGACAGCGAGACAAATGACGGGCACCCCCTGCGCCCCGAGCCACACCGTGTTCTCGGGGTGTGCAGGCTCAGGGTGGGGGACCTGGGACCAGGCTCCTGCGGCCCTGCAGCTGCCCAGCTGCTTCCTGATGCTGGCGTCCTGGGGACGGGCCACACGAGGCACCAGGCCTCCTGATTCTGAGCCAGAGGGGCCCCGTGAGAGTCAGTCCCAGCCTGGGCGCCCGCGTGTGCCAAGGCCAGCAGGAGGAGCCGCCCGGCCGGCTGTGTGGGCAGGATGGCGTGTTCCTTCCTGGAGCCAGGGAGTGACTAACGCCCTGCAGGAGGACCAGCAGGTAGAGCAGGCCCGGCCTCGCTGCCCTGAGGCCTGGCGGTGCCGCCCCCCATCCCAGCACCCAGGGCCTCTCAGCGCCTCCCTCGCCAGGCTCCTCCCTGGCCCCCCGACACGCTGTGACTGGCTGCCTTCCCGCCTGCGACCCTCCCGCGGGCTGCCCTCCTCACCCCTCCTCCTGGGCCGGGCGCAGGCTGTGAGGCCCCGGGCGACTTCCCGAGCCTCTCTGGGCTTCATGTAAGATGCCCCTCAGTGCAGCCCCCTTCAGTGAGCTCCTACCAAGTCTGCGGTGGGGACGCTTACTTGTCCCTGTCTGTTCTCTTGTACCTTGAAGTGTCCCGCCATGTGTGAGGGGGACATTCAGATTTTATTAGGATAATAATGACCAATGAAATGAGACTTCGGAATGGGGAAACCTGTCACCCCAAGCCGTGAGGACGAAGGGTCAGGTCCGGTGCCCAGAAAAAAGGAAGTGCTCACTTAACTCCACCACCTGGGCCGCTGTCCCCTGGCTCCTCCCGTGGCCTCCCCCGCCCAGCCTGGCCTCCTGGAGGGCCGAGGCGACCCGCTGCCCTCCGCTCCGCGCTCTCGCCCACCCCTCCTCCCCCCTGCCACCCGCCCGTCCTCCCCGTCCATCACCCACACCTTCATCTGCCCCGTCACTGCCCGTTGTGCACCTGCTGTGTGCCGGGGGAGGGGCAGACAGACGTCCCGACCTCCGCCTCATGGAGACCGCTTTCAGGTGATGTTCGGGTTCAGATGTGAGTGTCCCCAGAAGCTCCTGTGTGACAGGGCGCAGGGAGGTTCCGGGAGCCTCAGCCTGCTCAGTGCGTTGGTCGCTGTCAGGGACTGCCGGCCACTGTGGCAGGTGGGGTGTGGCTGCAGGAGGCGGGTCTCTGGGGACCTGCCTTGGGGTTTCTGTTTTGTCCCTGGTGAGCGGAGCGCGCTCTGCGTCCTGGTGGCCGTGGCCTGGGCTGCTTCCCTCCGACACTGTCCACCACGGCGTTCTGCCCTGCCTTGGGCCCAGAGCACTGGTCGGCCTCTGTGGCCTGAGACCTGACCCCAGAGACCCCGTGAGCCTTTCCTCCTCCGCACTCGTTCTGTCAGGTCTTTGGGCCCCAGTGCTGAGCCCCGACGTGGCCGGGGAGGCCGTCAGAGGGCCTCTACTCCGCAGTGTGCGGCTGTTGCTGGGCTGGACGCCCGTGTCGAGGCCCAGGCTGGAGGAGGGCAGCGACGTGGGGCACGCTCCCTGTGGGCAGGAGGCAGGGTGGCAGGCCAGCCTGGAGCCGGGAGCTGAGCAGGGGGAGCCGGGAGGACCTCAAGGTCCCGGAGGGAATCTGAACTGGGTCCTAAGCGCAGGCGTTGGGGCCTGGCACATTCAGGTGTGGAGGGACTGGGGGGACGTGTCCTGTGTGTAAGGCACTGGGGGAGCCAGCTGGACAGGAGGTGGGTGTGGGGCACCGCGGGGGCCACAGGCCAGGCCATGGGGGCGCGGGAGGCCCCCAGCTGCCGTTAGATTCTGGGGAGACTGCACCCTCCAACAAGCAGCAGGCCGCGGGTCTCCTTTCTCAGAGCCATTTGAAGGTCATTGCAGACACAACGCTTGGTCCCTGAGGTGTGCTTCCCAAGAATGGGGACGCTTTCCTCCCAGCCACAGAGTGTCACACGTTGGGAATCCAACAGGACGGCATCTGCTCTCTGGCCGTGTGGCTCCCCTCGGTGTGTCCTGAGGAAGCCGGGGTCCCTCGCCGCCCAGCACCACATTCCCTCTGGCTCCAAGATGGACGGAGCCGGGGAGCCGGAGGGCAGGGTGGAGGGCAGCAGGAGTCTGGGGGCAGTTGGTTCAGTTTGGGCCCCAGTGGTGCAACCCCCCATGAGCCCTGCTGTGGGGGGAGATCTGGGGGGGGTTCTGCAAGAGCCCAGTGGGAGGCAGGGTCTGGCAGGCGGGAGGGGCTGCAGGCGGGAAGCTCAGGAGACTGTGGCAGAGGGGACAGAGTGGGGGTCCTGCTGGCTTTCCACCCCGCCGAAACAGCGCCCCCAAACCAGGAGGCTTGCAGCAGGGATCTGCTCTTTCAGATCCTGGAGGCTGGTCCCAAATTGTGGAGGGGCAGGCTCCTAGCTCCCTGCAGAGGCTCGGGGTCCAGCTGCCTCGTCCACTACTGGCAGCTCTCGGCAGCTCTTGGCAGGCCACTACAACCCCTGTCCCTGTCACGGTGGCCGTGGCCTGGTCCCTGTGTGTTTACCTGATCCTCTTACAAGGCCACCAGTCACCGAGTTAGAACCCACCCCTGTGCAGCGTGGCCTCAGCCAAAGCTCTCTCCGCAGAGCAGCTCAAGTTTGATGCTCCAGGTGGACGTCACGTTTGGGGGACACACTCTTCACCCCAGCACAGGGGCCAGCAGCATCTAAATGGTCATGGTCATCGGAGAGAGCAGATGGTGGGGAGAGGGCTGGTGGCAGCCCTCAGCAATGTGTAAGGGGTCGCCAGAGGATTAGGCGCCCCACAGGTCCAGCTGTGGATGCCGAGTAACAGAATCGCGGACCTGGACTCCTGGACCCCAGGCCTCCCGGGGCACCTGCGCCCAGCCTGGCAGCCTCCCCGCCTCCCCTGGCCCGGCCTCCACTGTGTCAGCAGAGCCCCTCACTGCACGTGACGAGCGGAGCTCAGCTGGCGGCCTCTGCCCCTTCAGGTGTGCCAGGCCTTCCCCAGCCAGGCCCAGGTGCCCGCAGGTCCAGCCCCACAGCACCCTGCTGGCACTGAGGCCTGTGGTCACTCCTACATCACAGGAGAGAAAACCTGAGGCCCAGGAAGTGGGGGTCCAGGGTCAGATCTGGAGGGCTGGCCCCTGGCTTGTCACTGGATGGCTCCAGCACCACCAGGGGACGTTCAGGCCAGGCCTGGGCTCTGCTCCCGGGCTCCCTGAAGCTGCCCAGTCCGGCCCTGCCTGGGGCCGCTGCCTGCGCTGCCCTCTGCCTCCTAGGACAGAGCAGGTGTGGGCCTGAGCCCTGGGCCGGGGGCAGGAGGTTCCCGCTGGGATGGCCGCCGCTGTCTCCGGCCTGGAGCTCTGCCCCAGCGAGGCCCCCAGGCCCAGGAGGTGAGCTGCAGGCCGGCCTCGGATGCCCACCTGCCCGGATGCCCACCTGCCCTGCCCTCCCGGCCCGAGGGCCACGCCCGTCCCGCCCACCACTTGGAGGTGTGCTGCGTTTGGTCTTAGTTTTCCTTAGCGGTCTTCACCGTCCTTCCCAGGAGAGCCTGGAGCCCATTCTTCTTGGGCAAGTCCCTGCGAGGCCAGCGAGGGGCCCTGCCAGCTCCACTCCCACACAGCCCTCCTGAGCTGACGCCACGGGGCGGAGACGCCTACAGGTCAGGCAGTGGGAAAGGGGCAGGAGGGCCCCACCGTCCATGACCTCACAAGGCAGAGGCCTCGGGCTGCCCCTCAGGAGAAGGGTGGGAGGGACGGGCTCCCTTCTTGGTTCTTCGGGGCTTTTTGTCTCTGGCTGTGTGCGTCCTGCCCCCAGGTCCTGGGGCCCAGGGACGGGGCCTGGCAGCCTCTGCACTGGCTCATCCTAATCCCTCCTCACTGTCTCCCCTTCCAGGAAGACCACCCGCCTCCCCGCCACAGAGGGCGCCTCCCACCCCGTGGTTCCAGGACCCTACCTCCAGCGCGTCTTCCTCGAGGGCCACCTGGGTGCTCGGCCCCTGGCCTCACAGACCGGCCATGTAGTGGGACGGGAGAGAACCTGGTCGTCTGGCTCCGGGCCCTCCAGACCTAAGCTCACTGCCCAGGGCCCTGCTTCTCCCTGCCCCACCTGCCCCTGGGCAGGAACACCAGGGAGGGAGGGGAGGAGCTGGGCGGGGGCTCCTGCAGGGTGGCTCCCGGAGGAGGCCTGGGGACCCAGAGGCCGGGAGCCATCAGCTTCACGAAGGCCCGGGCAGGGTGCTCTGGGCAGGTAGAGTCAGAGGCCCTGGGCAGGAACAGTGTGGCAAGTTGGAGGGCCACACTGGAGGCCCACGCACGGAGCTGTGAGCTGCAGATGCCCTCTGCGTGCTCTGGAAGCCGGGGGGGGGGGGGGGCCCCACTGGGCCAGCGGCGCAGGGAGGTTTCCTTGATGCAGGCCACCTGATGAGCTGGGCTGAGGGGCAGGGCTCTGGAGACCAGGACCCCCCTGCGCCGCCCAGCCGCCTTCCCGCCTCGCGGACGCTGCCAGGACTGGGAAGCTCTTCTGGAACGCAGAGCAAGGGACGCAGCCTGTGACCAGGCCGCAGGAGTCTGCCCCCGGCCAGTTCCCGCAGTTGGGCGTAAGTGGTGAGAAACGGGCTGGAGGCCGGGAGAACCTGTTTTTCAGCCACCAGGGACGCGGCAGGGCACCCTGAGCTCTGGCCTTTAAGCAAAAGCCACATCACCCCCCGGGGTCCAGGTCACCCACACGGAGGTTCAGGGTGTGTGCAAAATGGTGTCCGGTGCATGACAGGAAGGTCACTTGTTTTCTCTCTGGAAAGGACTCGTCCCCACTAGGACCAGCCGGCTGCACATCCAGACAGTGTGTGCCTTGGCAGGGGCACCGAGGCTCCAGAGGCCTTGGGGAGCTCCCTGGGTCCCAGGATGGCACATGCACAGCTGACGGGGACTTCTGGGACAGCAGTTGCCCCCTCGATAATGCCTGGGCACCTGCTTCATGCCCAGGACCCACACGGATGGACACGCAGACGGACAGACTATGCCCTGGTCCAGCTCATGGGGGAGGAGGGGGGTCCTGCTTCCAACCCAGGCAGCCCCTGCTGGGCCCCTCTTCTGGGCCGCTGGGTCCCCCTGCTGGCTAAGTCCTCTCGTGTGCAGTCCTGAGGAAGGCCACCTTTCATCAGAGGTTAAAGGGTCCCCTCCTGTTCCGGAAGCCCCAGCTCCCGGTGCCGTGACTCCACGGGACAGGCCCTCTGTCGAGTGGCAGCACTGGGTTACCACAGCGTTTCCCAGCTGTCCTTCGGGCCCTGCAGGAGGGACTGTGGCTTGACCCCGTGCGGCCCGCACTGCCTCTCCAGCCGGGGACCCGCTTCTGGCCTCTGCCTCTGGTGGCCGCGCCCACCCCTGCTTCTTCCAGGCCTGTTCAGACCCACCCAAGTACAAAGAGGGGCCGTGGGCAGCCTGGAGCGTGGACACCTGAAAGTGTGGGAAAGTCTCGGGCCCCAGCAGGCCCCATGTGAGCGCCCAGGTGAGGAAGCCGCACAGGCCCGCGAGGGCCCAGGCTCTGGCTCTGGCTCTGGCTCTGGCTCTGGCTCTGGCTCTGGCTCTGTCGGTGCAGAACATCTCTCACCGGGTCTCACCAGGGTCTCGCCCTGTGGTGCTGGCTGACGCTGGTCTGCTGTCACACCTTGGGAACAGGGATGTCGTAGGCAGGCGGTGCTGAGGGCGGGCAGACAGATGACCATGGTGTCCGTGTCAGAGGCGGCATGTCCTGGGCTGCCCTCTGTCCCCGATCCTCCCACCCCAGCCTCCCAGTCCTTGGGATCACAGGTGTGTGCCCTGTGCTGGCTGGAAACAGGGTCTTCAAAGAGGTGACTAAGATAAAGTGAGGTCTCTAGGGCGGCCCTCCTCCAGTAGGACTGGGGTCCGTGGAGGAAGAGGCAACCAGGACACAGATACACGGGGGACATCATGCAAGGACACAGAGAGACACAGGCCCGTCTCGGAGTGAAGCTCTCCTCAACGGCCGGTTCTCACAGGGAACCCTCAGCCTGGGACTCCAGACCAGCACACGGGTGGCAGAGAGGACCGACGCCCAGGCCCAGGCCCAGCACCAGGGCCCGGCTGGGCATCGGTCCATCCAGCCCAGCTGGTCTGTCGCCCCCTCCGGTTCCCCTGGGGGACGCTCATTTCCTCCCCTGTGGAACCAGAGGCCATCCTCCTAGGACGCCTCTGGGCCTCAACGGGCTCCCGCCCAGGGCACCTCGCTGGGCGCAGCCCGGCTCTTTTCAACCAGATGTCGATTCCTTGTCCACTGCTCGGCTCTTCCACCTGGACCATGCATTCTGGCGCCTGGACTTATTGATGTATTTCCAGCGTCTGGCCTGGTGCCCGGCACGCGGCGGCAAGTGAATGAAATGTGAAAAAATCACACTCTGTCAGAGCTGCGGCTGGCGAGGGGAGCTCCAGAGCATCCCGGGGCCTTTCTGCTGCCCTGCGCAGTCCTGGAAGCCCCCGGAGGTGCTCAGAGCACATGCACGGTGTCCGTCCCTGAGGTGTCCTCCAGGTGGCTCAGGAGGCACAGGCTCCCCGTGCTCTGCCTTCAGGGTGGCAGTAAGCACGGCTTCCCAGAGCCAGTGGAGGACTGGGTGTGGCTCAGTGACCAGTGCTTGCCTAGCAGGTGAGAGGCCCGGCGTTCTGTCCCCAGCACCGAAAAAATGACACAGTCGCCAAATTCCCAGCTGATGTCAGCCTCCCAGCCGGGGAATAACAACCGGGTTCTCTATAAATATCTAATGTTTAAAAGATTAGTTGTCCAATATGATAATAGTTTTTTTTCTTTTTTTTTTGTTATGTTTTGGGTACTGGGAAATGAACTCAGAGGCATTTTGCCACTGAATTACATCCTCAGCCCTTTAAATTTTTTTTTTAAAGAGAGAATATGAATCTTTTTTGTAGATGGACACAACACAATGCCTTTATTTATTTTTTTATATGTTGCTGAGAATTGAACCCGGGTCCCGCCCATGCTAGGGGAGCGCTCTACCGCTGAGCCACAAACTCAGCCCCCCTCAGCTTTTTAAAATTTTTGTTGTTAGACAGGGTCTCGCTAAGTTGTGGAGGCTGGCCTCAAACTCACAATCCTCCTGCCTCAGCCTCAGTCTGTGGGGTCACAAGCGTGCACCACCATGCCCGTCCCAATCTGATAATCTTGATTTTTGTTTCATGACAAATATTTCAGCTGCAGAAAAATTCCTTAGGAGTGTCCACAGGCACGTTTAAGTTGGGCAATAGGGAGGTCTAGGTACCCGTTTTAATCGTGGTGAAATCTACACAACTCGCAGTCTCCCACCACAAGCATGTTCAGGCTCACAGCTGGTGGCGCTTAGAGCATCCCTGGCCTTGCGTAACTCACCCCAGAACTCTCTTGCAGCCAGCTGGAGGCTCGGTGCGGTGGACACTGTCTCCCCCGCCCCCAGCAAGGACCCCCACCACCCTCCTTCAGAGTCAGGACTCTCTCCACAGGAGACCACTAGGTCTGTCCCCTGCTTTGGCTGGTGGGGCTGGAGGTCTTGCAGGGCCACCTGGGGTTCCTTTTGTAATGCTGAAAGGATTTCACCTGCATGGGGGGTGGGGGAAGCCCCAGGCCCAGAGTGGAGGCCGGGGCTGGTGGTGCCTGCCACTCAGGGTGGGCGAGGGAGGAGGCCGGCCTTTCCAGGACACCCCCCCCCCCCATTCCTCTCCCTGGTGATGCACACACACAGGGGTTTGTTTGGTTTGCAAGAAGGGCTCTGAGGCCAGGCCGGACTGTCACCTGCCACAGGGCACGCCTAGGAGCCAGGCTGGAGGCTGGCCGTTGCTCTCCAGGGGCTCTTTCCAGAGTCCTCAGCCTTGACCTTGAGTGCTGGTGACAGCATTTTCCGCCCTTGTATTTGACTTGACGTCAGTGGATTCCTTTGAACCAGTGACCTCTCCATGTCCATTGTTAAGTTTAGGTCTCCAAGGAGAGTGATAATACCTCTCCCTCCCTCCCTCCCTCCCTCCCTGCTTTTGTGGTGCTGGGGAATCAACCCAGGGGTGCTCTATCACTGAGCTGTACCCCAGCCCCCTTTTCTCTCTCTCTCTCTCTTTTTTTTATTGGTTGTTCAAAACATTACAAAGCTCTTGACGTATCATATTTCATACATTTGATTCAAGTGCAGCCCCCCTTTCTCAATCTCTTGCCTTATTTTCATTGCGATTGGGGTTGGGAAGAACGTAAATGTCCTGAGAAACAGTAGGAAGGAGTTTTATGGAAAGATAAGGAGCAAAGTCGTCCCTCATGAACTCAAGATGGCTGCCACAGTCCCAGTCCTCAAGGGCAGAGTTCCAAAGAGTGAGACTTTCTACTGCTCTCTCTTCTATCCGAGATTAAGATCCCAGAACACCTGTACATTTTCCCTTGGGTATCTATCACTCACGAGAACAGGGTCTCAGCTCCTAGCCTACCAAGGGCAAAGGGAACAAGATGCTGGTGGAGTGGGACCAACACTGGTTCCTTTTGGGGCAGGTGGGATGAGCATGAACCCGATAAACAGGGCTTCCTCTAGCGGTAAGTGTCCCCACGGAGCTTCCCACCCCACCCCACCCCATAGCAATCAGAGATGGGCTGCCATCCCTGCTTCACAGCCGGGGAGACTGCGGCCACTTGCCTGAGAGGACACAGCCAGCGACGGAGAAGGAGGCAGAGCCAAAAGTCCAGTCAGGCAGCTGCCCTCCAGAGAGGTCACTACTGAGTGGGCGGCCCCTCCAGAGAGGGCGAGGTGGCCAGAGGGAGCCAGCGGGAGTGCCTCGGGGAGCCCACAGTGAGCGCTCCAGTGGGGGTGTCTGTCGGAGTCCCCTCTTTGACGGGGAGGAGGTTGGGGCCCAGGTAGAGGTGAAGGGACACCAGGTTGCGCTGGGCCAGCTCCGCCTGGCCTTCCCTGCGGAGGCTCCTTTGTGAACCCAGGGAAGCTGCCCAGAGCAGCAGGCGGCAAAATGTTTGGGACTCAGCTTTAAAGCATGGTTACAGGGACTCCGCTTTAAAGCATGGTTACAGGTGGAGTGAGGCCAGGGCAGCGCCCCCCACTGGGGGCTCTGAGGGCACCTGGCGAGGCACCTGGGTGGGTGACAGATCAGATCAGGTGGCGGGAGCCAGATCCCGCTCCCCACGGTGGGCACGGGGTTCGGTGCTTTGCAGCTTTGAGGGCCTGGAGACCCTGATGGCTGGAGCCCCTCCCTGCTCCCACAGTCGTGAGCTTGGGGTGCAGGACGCTTGGCCCCGAGAGAAGGCAGCTACGCTGGCGAGGACGTTGAAGCGCTGCAGATGTGGTCTTCCACCCCACCCAGGGGTGCCCACGTCCTGGAGCTGACCCCAACAGAGCCAGGCCCTGACAGATGCCCATGACCCCTGTTCCCACTGTTTGACTTACCATGACAACAGAACAGCCACAGAGACAAGGACACTCGGGCCCACGAGGTCCCGGCCCAGCAGCCACCAGGACCTCTGATCCAGGGCTGCCACGTGGACGAGTCGAGGACAGCTCAGTGGAGACTTGTGCCAGTGACAAAGCGGGGTGAGACCACTCCCTGGTCACTACAGAGGGATAGCCCGGCACTGAGGGACCCCAGGTTCACTCAGAGCCCCAGTCCCAGCTCTGCCACACAGTAGCTGAGCCATCTGTTCCCTGAGAAATCCTGTTTGCATCCCTGGGCTTTGGGCTCCTCCTCTTAGGGGGCCACATTGTCCAGTGCCCACCCCACTGGGCTTTCCCAGTTCAGAGCAGTGTCACTACAGACCTCCTGTTAGGGAGCTTCTCGTTCTGGATGGTCAGGGCCCCTCCCCAACCTCAGCAGGGTCCTCCTTCTTGGGCTGCTTATGTCTCAAGAAGGGAGGAGCCTCCTGTGTCCTGCAATGCTCCTGGTTGATAACTGCATTCAACCCTTTTTTGTTGCTATAACAACATGCCTGAGGGTGGGTATTTTGTAAAGAAGAGAGGTTGATTTAGCTCACAGTTTCTGAGTAAAGATCTGTAAAGATTTCATAGTGGGTGGCATTATAGTGATGGGAATGTGTGAAGACACCTCCCGCCAGCCTGGAAGCCAGAGAGTGGGGAAGGGCTTACTCTTATTTTCCCCCTGGTACTGGGGGTCAAACCCAGGGCCTCAGGCATGTTAGGCTACGGAGCTCCATCCCCAACCCTTTCTAAAATTGTTTTTTGAGACAGGGTCTTGCTAAGTTGCCCAGACTGCCCTCCCACTTGCCATCCTTCTATTTTGGCCTCTAGAGTAGCGGGGATTGCAGGTGTGTGCCACAGGGATTGCAGGTGTGTGCCACAGGGATTGCAGGTGTGTGCCACAGTGCCTGGCTGCTCTTGCTCTTTTTTGTAACAACTCACTGTCTTGGGAACCAACCAGCATCTCAAGAGAATGATGTCACCCCTCCAGCCCCCTCCCCACCTCATCTCCTCCCATGAGCCCCTTTGAAAGATTCTACCATCTCTGAAGACCACCAGGCAGGGGACTAAGCTTCCAGCACATGACCCTTTGAGGGTCAGACCAAACCAAACCCTAGCCGTAGCTACACCATCCAGATGCCTTCCAGAGAGCAGCTGGCGGCCTCTGCGGCAGCCCCGTCTGGGAGATCAGACTCTGGGTATGGTAGTAAATCTGCTTCCTCTGGCCCTGCTGTACAGAGTCTTTAACAGAAGAACTGGACAGAAAGCTTTTCCATCTTCATTGTTTTCTGATAGAGCCTTCTGAGGCTACCACCCAACTCCGAAATGTGCTTCAGACAAAAGCTTTTGGGAAGTGGTTTATTGGGTGGTGTGGAGCAAAGCCATTTCAGCTTCCAGAAGGCAATTCCTCACCATCTGTCTCGCCTTGGCTTTATCAAAGTAATGTGCTTGGGAGGTTTTCCTAATGATAAAAATAATGCACATTCACAATGAGGTATCTGGAAGACACAGATCAGCACAGAGGAAAGGAAAACTCTAACCACAATTGTGTGTGTGCGCGCGTGTGTGTGAGTGTGGAGAGAGAGAGGAAGAACTGGAGAATGAATTGAATACAGAACACTATTTTCATCTATAGATATGGTTTTCTTGACAAATTTGATATGAAATTTAACTTCACTTTTCAAAAGTATATCATACAAAACTTATTTTGTTAAAAAGTTCTATTTAATTAATAAGTCTAGAGCTTCCAAATACAAGATGATAAATTTTAAGCAATACATTCTTTACCTCAACAGGCTGTTTTTAAATTTTTTCTGTTTAGTTGTAGATGGACACAATACCTTTACTTTTATTTATTTTTATGTGGTGCTGAGGATCAAATGCAGTGCCTCACAGCTCCTAGGCAAGCGCTCTGCCTGAGTCTGCAGAGGCTGTTTTCTGAATTAGGTACACACTGTGGATACTTGTTTTGATCTTGATTTTTTACAGGATTTCCCTCCATTTATAAAAACTAGGGCATGCTTTACATATCAGCGTAGTTGGGTGAGTTTTGCCGACAGTACACAATCGAGTCACTACCACCATGATCAGGATGCAGAATTATGCCTGTCATCAGGCAGTTATCTAAACTATGACCGTGACAGCCAAATTTTCTGTGGCTTGCAAGTGCATGATTTAAACCATCTCTTTTTGTGAGACATTTAGGTTGCTTACAGCTTTCCTCTTACTGATTTGCAATCTGGGGGAACAAAAGTTCATGGGAATGAATGAAACCCAGGATTTCCTGAAGCAGTACCCATAGGGCTTCTCCCTTCTCTGTTGGAAAAACTTGAGTGTTGTTCTTCTCTGCGAAGCTCCCATCATGCGGTGAATGAACAGTTTACTCTGTTCAACTACATTTTGGCATTGTGGTGATAGAGCCTGATAGAACCTTCTGGGCTCTATGAGGACATGGGCAAGATGATTAAGCAGGTTACCTGTGAGAACACCTGGGATTCTTCTTCCCAGGCCCTCGACCAGGGGAACTGGGGACTTGTACAGAATTGATTGGAGGTACAAGGGGTACCTGCAGAACACCTCACAGAACATTTGTACAACTTTAAAACAGCAAAAAGCTGAGGGCCGGAAGTGCATTTATGAATGCACATTTATGCAGTTAGTCAACATATAATGAATAAATATTCCATAAATAATGAACAACAAAATGAATGGAAGGAAGTGCACCCGAGCCTGGTGTGTAGGAAAGTCAAGCACACTCCGTGCCTGTTCTTGGCGAACTCGCAGTGTGGGAATCACGAATCGACCTGGGAAGGGATCACCTCCGGCCCTCTCACCCCATGCTGCCTTCCTCAGTTCAGGGGCTCTGGCTGCTCACCACCAACTGCACACAGTGACCCCTGGTGAACAGCAAAGATGCCTTGACATTTGGGTTTGCAAAGAATGTGTGCTCTTCAGTTTATTAAAGGTACATTTATTCATCTCCGTGCCTGCAAGATTTAGCCCAGGTCTTGGCACACAGTAGGCGTTTAGAAATGTTTGCAGGGAGGATAAAGACGACCCGAACGAGCAGGGGCCTCCAGCCAGGCTGTCAGCTCCTCGGGTTTCACTTCCACCTCAGCACTGCGTCGCAGGCCTGGGTCACTTTCCCATCCTACAGCGGAGGCCCTGAGTCCCAGGCGAGCTTCCCGAGTTGCCCAGCTTCCTGAAGCAGGGGAAAAGGAGCGGCGGGCAGGGGAGGCCGCTGGGCCTGGGCTCCGCAGCCGGCCTCTCCACACACCGCCAGGAGCCTCAAAATCGCGCGCCGCTCATCTCTGCCTCCCCAGGTACAGCAGGCGGCGCTCAGTGAGTGGGTCTTGCGTGGACACCGCGTCCTTCCGAGCCTGAAGGAACAGTTCGCAGGAGGCCTGGCTCGCATGGATGGCTCCGCGCGCTCCCGACTCTGCGCAGCTGACCGCAGCGCCGACCAGCTCCCGGTACCGCTCGGGAGAGCGGGGTGGACGTACGTTTGCGAAGTCTGTTTCAGCGCCTGACGCCCGCAGTCGCCGGCTAAGTGCCTCGTGACCCCGCGGCCGCCGGGACAGACCTGGGACAGCGCCAAGCGCCCGGGATCCGCGGTGCGAGGATCCCAGCGACCACCTGAGTTCGCACCTGCGGCTCCGCCAGCCACCGCCGGGGCGCGGCCTTAGGGCGGGGCTCCGGGCCAGCCCCAGCCAATCAGCGCAAGCGAGGCGCAGCCCGCCCTCTCCTGCGGAGGCAGCGCGTGCGCACTCGGGCCGCGGTACTCCGGACCCCCGGGGCGGCGCTGACGCTCGCGCCGACGCGCCCGACGTCGGGCACGTCGACGCCGGCGACGCGCCGCCGGGCC